TGTAAACGAAGAAGTGATTTCAGGCGAAGGTCATTGACTGAAGTAAGCGGCGTCCTTGAAAGTTGAGTTGCTAAAACAGAAGATTTATTCAAAATTTATTAAAAAATACCTTTTGAAGTCCTTGTCCCTGACTGCAATTGTTTTGCATGCTTCTAAATTATAAAACGTAGACTCAATAGGTGCATTTGCATACCTGAAAGTTCAGCAACCATTCTGCATCTTCGTCATCGTCAGAATCGCTGCAAGTTGCACCTAAATTAGATGCCTTAGCGCATTAGAAGACCATATCCGTACAAGATGCAAGATGTAAATTGTGTTTAAGAAACTAACCAGTAGTTAAAAATAAATTATCCTCGCTACCCCACCAAGAGCAAAGATCCAATAGCTCGTTCATTAGATTTGTCTCACCGAGAGCTTCATTATCACATTTACTAAAATGGAAAATTGGAGTGGAATTTTCTTGAGACTTTAGAATTATGCATCAAAACCAACAGACCTGTAGCACCAAGAAGTGGCTCAAGTTTTGACTTATAAATGGTAGAAAACTCACAATGATTCAGCAAGTTCTTTCCAATGTTGAGAATCGGGTTCATCTCCTTTCCCGAGATGTCGTTTGATGTACTCATGAGTTGACGTCTCAGCATATGGTTTTGTTGGCTCGAGAAAGTGCACTTTCTAAAGATTATATTGTGATTACTTCTCCGATTACTGATTTAGGACAAACTTTTTTTGAGCTCCATTTAAATTCAAAACTTTTTGAAGACTTGGTGTAATATAGACTCAAATGACAGGCGCTAGAGTGACATCTCATAGCATTGGGGTTGAATAACTTGGGGATCTATTTTTGACAAAGAACAGACTGATAAGAAATAAGTGCAAGGCTTTGGATTAATCAGAGAATATTTAGCACCATTTAGTACAAATATCAATAACTTGTTAGCGTATTAGATGACAAAATTGATACGATAGGTATTTTGTTGACTAGTAGCCCAATAAAAATAAAGGTTCAACCAAATTTAGGAAGTTGATTTATGATGGACGCCAAATCAATTTGTGATACAAAACAAAATGACTGACCCGCTTTCCCTGGAAGAATAGGGAACGCGATGGCACGCGGTGTGACCGGTAAAGGGAAAGGGAAAGAAACGACCAATCTAGACCCGATGAGAAGACAGAAAGACGGAAGAGCCCCTCGGGGTCGCCGACCTGTTTGCGTAATGTGCAAAAGATCTCACTCTAGACAGCAAATTACGGTAGCAGATAGTGATCATCAGGAAATCGTTATCAATTTCATATCAACATCCCTAGTTTTCACAATAGCCCCAATGAAGTATGCAGTTTTTGCCTATCTTGATTGATGAGTTGCATTTGGACTTTTTTTACAAAAGTGCTGTACCAAGTAAATTTTTCAATAAAAATAAATTCAACCTGCATAATTCTCGTAAATTTTCACCTTGGTTTTTTTCGTTGCTTTGGTGGCACTTTCGGGAAGTGGTGAACGGGAAGACACTCGAATCATTTTCAAGTTAATACCTAAAAGAAAGACAATTGATTATAAAGCATGACGAGACTGACCTAACGAACATGACTTAGATGATCACAGCTGGTTTAAATCGGAAATATCTGAAAAAAACATGTTCCATTTTGTTGAAAAAACACTGAAAGGAGTAAAAATAGATTGTAGACAGCTAGTGTTCTAGAAAAGGTTGATAAGTATTTACAATAACTTTGATATTTACAGTGTCAACATATAAAGCGAGATGATTTTTAAAATTCGAGGCCACTGTTCAGGTCACGGATCGCGCAATCGCAATAGCTGGCGAGGTCGTTTAAGGTCGTGGCCCAAAGGGGGAAGACGAGAGTGGAAAGAGGGGGATATCCGAGGAAAAGAGAGGGTGTGACTGTGTGAGTGACAGGACAGAACTCATAGGAAATGGACAAAAGAGGAGTGGGAAGAGGTGGCTGGCTGTCTCTCGCTGCTAGCATTACCCTGGCAATCTGCCAGCCCGCCATCCCGGTTTGCCTTTTGTGGAAAATACCACTTGGTGGGGGCAACCTCGACGAGATTACTGCAGGGCCAGTCGACCCTAAAGTTTGAAAAGATTTTTCATCAGCTCAATGCCTGAGTCCTCGTTTCCTTTTTCCAAAAGCTGGAGACATTTTAATAAAATTTTATACAATAAACTCGGCAAAAAAACGGTAAATTGCCAACAAATCTTTGTTTTCCTGAAATAAACGTTTATTCACTCGTCTATAGCATATTTACAAAAGTACAATGATTAGTGGTATAAGAAATAGTTAAATGTTGTCACATTGACTAGTCCAGATATTCTTTGGAATAAATAGAAAATTAGTACATTGTAAATTTAATCACACAATATCACACGAAAATTGAAAATGCGTTTGTATCCTGTGTTTATCCAAGCACGGCACGGTATTTCTAAAATACTTTTTCAAGGCATGTATGAAATATTAATGAAACACGCAAAATTTCTCGTCTTTAATAGATCGACACTAACACATTAAACCAAGGAGAGCACTTTTGTCCAACATTCAACCCAAAATTGAGCCAAGCAAAACGAGACAAACAAAAATCGAAAGCCCGTCCACCTCGATTTTCCCAACCTGTCCAATTATACCTGAAGAACGATTCCGATCAAAACGGAGATCATAATGATGGGCAAAGTGGGCACAAAGCGAGTCAAGAAGCCAAGAGTACGTCTTTTTCCCGTCAGCATTTTCATTTGATTGAACTTTTTGTCGGTCAGTGGAGGATAACGAGCACTGAAGAACGATTTAGAAAAGCATAAATGATTGACTTACAATAGCAAACTTTCGCCGAAGAATCCCTTCTTGAGGACCGATTTCTCGTGACTGAAGGTGTCAAAGCCAAACTTTCCACGGTATCTAAACAAGAGTTATTAAAATAAAGAGAAACAACTTACCTTCCCATGCCTGAGTTTCCAACTCCTCCAAATGGTAGAGTGTCAACTGAAATAGGTCAATTGAATTCATGTTTAGGCCATAGTCTCACGTTAAACACCTTCAATTTCTCATGCTGGTTCAGTGTGGCAAAGCTCACAGTATTATGAACTTCACTAACTCAAAAACTCACCCAATAAATGCATGATAACATCATTCACCGTCACACCACCACTGCTTGTCTCGGCCAAAAGACGATCCGCATCACGATCATTTCTTGTAAAAATGTACGCGGCCAACGGCTTCTCCCCTTGCTAATTCAGAAATCAATAAACCATTTAAATATACAAGACTTTACCCTAATATATTCCAATTGCTCATCAAAACTGTTGATGGTGAGAATCGGGAGAACGGGGCCAAAGATCTGAAAAAGAACGTCATCTTATGCAAATTCATATTGTAATAAAATTTGAATTTCATTTCTGAAATTTAAATTTAACCATCAAATAAATAGAAAGCAAAAGTTGTCTAATGTCATCTTGATCTTCTCGAATGCTTCCAACCAAGGGTAAGTTTTTTTTCAGTTCTTTTGTTAATTTTCGTTTGTACTTTGCTTTGTGATTAATTTTAACTTAAGCTGGTTAATTGGTGTTTCCAATTCTTATTGTTTTAATCATCTATTTTTAGAGATTGCTCATTCAAAGCCTTCGTCTACAGCAAGCGCTCGTTCTGCTCGTTCGGCTCGTCCAACCTCCAACAATCCCTTGGCTGATGAACGTTCTCGTCGTTCCGATGCAAGTGGTCGTCGAAATGCGGTAGCCAAGGTGTGTTTTTTGCTCATTATTTTAACTTCATGCTGTACTTCTTTAGAAAGCCCGTTCTCACAACAAGCTCAAAAATGTTTCCTCAAGCTCGTCTGGATCTGAGGTATCTTTCCCTTTCTTGCGCATCATAATTGTGTACTTTTAGAATTCAGAAAGTGCCTCAAATCTCTCTACACAATCTCCATTGTCTGACTCGTTAGCAACTTCAACTCCCACCCGCAGCTCGGTCTCATCAGAATCAACTGCTTCAGTTGACACAACTCGTTCTCCTCATCTCGCCAAGCGTGGGCGTTCCATTTCCAAGTCAGCTCCACGTTCTGTGTCCGGCCCCCATGCCATCAAAGCTAAGCGTGCTCGTCCTTCGACCCGTTCTCGCTCTACCAAGCGAACCCGCAAGCGTTCTGCATCGGGCTCATCTCGCTCCGTCAACAAGAAAAGTGTGGTAAAGCGTGGACGCTCCAAATCGGTATTGATTATTTCTAATCAATATAAAACTTCTTTGTGTTTTAGATCGGTCGTTCCCCCCGTGTCATCAAAGCCAAGCGTGCTCGTCCTTCGACCCGTTCTGGCTCTACCAAGCGAATCCGCAAGCGTTCCGCATCTCGCTCCGTCAACAAGAAAAGTGTGGCAAAGCGTGGACGCTCCAAATCGGTAATGATTATTTCTAATCAGTATAAATCTTCTTTGTGTTTTAGGTCGGTCTTTCCTCGACTCCCCGTACCGTTCATTCCATGAAGACTACTCGTTCCAAAGTCGACGAAGCAAAGTCGCCAAAAACTACCCCCAAATCTAAGGTTAATTTTTGTCAATTCGATTGTGATTCTGAGGTTTCTGATCTTAATGTTTTCTTTTAGAAGAGACATCGTTTGTCCGCCGGTACTGACAATGAATGATCGGATGAGGATGTGAACGGACACTGGGACGACTTACACTTTTCCACTCAATACTTGACAATAAATGAATTTTTGGGAGCTCAATAAACATTTTCGGGAAATATTATGTAGTGCATCTCATAATTATTGCATAACCAACTGCGCTGGGCATTATACCTCATCCTCCATAAAAGTGTCCTCTTTCTGCACATCAAGCACGGTGGGTGTAATGAAAAGGTCTTCTCGGTCTCGTTCTCCATCTTGAATCAACACTTTGCCATGTGACTTGTCGAGTAGAGAAGAGATTCGACTAAGGAATGTGGCTATAATTATGGCTGCACATTTAAGATAACTCACTCGTAGTGGCGTGCACTGATAATCCTTGAATAATCCTTGCTTGATTTAATATCGTCTCCGTAGAATTCGCGAATAGACTGAAATGTACTTTAAAATTGCAATTCTAGTTCAAAAACTTTTCGCAGCGCATCCACGAATTTTCCTTTGCTCTTTTCGGTAACCAAGACGTAATCAGGAGCCAAACAAGTCTAGATAATCGTGATTTGGCAAAAGGAAATCAAAGAAACCTGTCCACAGTTCATCCATTTACCCCAAGCAACTCGTTTAGCCGAAATCTCAAGATCAGCATCATCGCGAATTATGACAGGGCTAAAAATATCATTTCAGTAAAGGCAACACACCTCAAAAATTATACCATTTGCCTCCGAGTTCCAAAGTGACCGGTGTTAGGTGTTTCGCAGCAGCGGTCATGATGATTTTTGCTACTGGAGGACACCCGGTGTACAGAATATGATCAAATCGTTCCTTTAAAAAAACCATATCAGTATTTATCGCATTGATAATACCTTCAAAAGCTCAGTTGTCTCGGAAACACCACCATTGACGACGGTCAAATATTTCTAAAATAAAAAAGGCTTATCGGTTTTTAAAATTTTCAAACATACTGGATCAAAGTATTTTCCAATACATTCGGCCATTGCTTTAGCGGAATGTTCAGAGATTTCTGATGGCTTGATGACGACAGTGTTTCCTAAAAAGCAATATTTTTCCTTTCAAATTGAAATACTTCGTGAAACTAAAAAATAAACTTTCTTTAATTATGAAAACTTTAGATGTTCCTCTAAAAAAATTCAGTAAACTTTGGCTAAAATCAATAGTTTTGAAATGTAAAATTTTTTAAATACTTTGGGAATCAAATTTTACTATTTTTTTAGTTTCATTCAAGTTCTATTACATGAAAAAAAGATTATTCGAATATATGGATTCAGTAAAAAGTTACAGCCTCGCGAAGGAGGATCAAAAACGTCATTTTTGCTTCTTGTCAGCCCCATTTCTCTTTGTAGAGTTACTTTAGGCAGCTAATTTTTTTGGTCATCAATATTCACCATGAAATCTATCGAATGAGGTATCACTCATCCCAAACAGTCACCTTAACTACGGACCATTTCCTTGTTAGAAGCTACTTATAGTTTTATCGGTTAACTAACCGGCTCCAATAGCAGGAATGAGAGGAAGCAAGACCATATAATGAGGGTAATTCCATGGAGCCACGATCAGAGTCACACCCTTTGGATCCTTAATAATCTGTGGCGTGTCCAACAAATTCAGAACTGTTTTCGCAACCTAAAACTCCCAACGTTTTTGCAAAACCAAATCAACCAACATTCTCCGGTTTTGCCCAGTCATCGAGATTGTCAAGGAAATAGTCGATCTCGGTGATTGTTGAGCCAATCTCGAGAAGATACGTGCTTTTTGGTTGCTATAATTTTTGATCTTATAAAACTTGAACAAAATCCCCTACTCGTTTATGATCCTCCCAAACTGAATCACAAAGAACACCCTCGCATTCGATTAACATTTTCTTCAATCTAAATTCCTGATTCCAAAAACACCGCTAAAGGACTCACTGTTTCAACTGTTCTTTTCTAAACGCCAGAGATCTGGTGGCACCAGAATTGAAATACGCTCGTTGAGCTTCGACAACCTAAACAAAAAACGACGTTTAACTTGATTTGCTCAAATTTAGATTAACTAAACTCTCGTTAACTTGATTTTATTTTTTCTTCTTACTTTAAAAATCAGTTTATTTGAAAAAGCTAATACTCATATAAAAACAAAAACTTACATTATGGAGGCTCATTTTTCGAATATTTATCACGAGTTTACAGTGACAAAGATTTGAAAGAAGAAATTTCTGGCGTACCGGCTACCAAAAGTGACAAGAAACCCGTTGAAGTGTCTAAAAACATAATTATAACGAGTAAAAAGAAGTTGATAGATGAAATGATTTGTGAAAAAAAGATTAAGAGGAAAAATTTCGTGGATTCATTCGATTTTGCTTATCGTGCTCGCCCTCCACTTTTTGCCATCCTTATCGCATTTGTGGAGTGGAAGGGCCAGAAAACAACAAGAGAAATCATGAGAAACGAGGAGAAATTTTGGGGAAAGGAAAAAGGGGCAAAGACCACAAGAGCCAAGTCGTTGAGTGAGAGAGAAAAAGATATTATTTTTGATCGGCTGCAAAATACAAGACTACAGAAACACGAAAACCAGCAACCAAGCAAAAAGAGAAAAATTTACTTTGACGCTTTTGAAATCCAGCAAAAAGTCTTTAGAGTGGAGTTTAGCTGGCGTCAAAGAAAAGACCTAAAAATAAAAAATTATAGTTTTGTAGTTTGCCTGAATTCTTAAAAATTCTTCCCTCAAATCGATAATATTTTTAAATTGAACGAAATCAAGATTTAAAAGAGATTATTTTTTCGAGAAAGATGGGTTTTATGAATATTCAGCTATTCTGTCGTAACTATCCCATCTTAAAAGTTGTTTTCTCAATTTTTGAGGATACGACAAAAAAGGATACGCAAATAGCAATTCAAGGTCACTGAGAAAATAGCCCATAGAGAGCCGCGATTTGCTCAATAAATAAGACATTTTATAACAGGAAATCATTTGCTCGTTTGTCACTATCCCTGAAAACTGAAATAATTGTTTATTGTTGTTTATATATTTACGGTCGAAAACAACTCAATGAAACAAAAATTAAACCATCAAAAAAGAATAAAAATAAATTATATCTTGAAAAAGTCTAATCATCATCTCGTTTTCTCACATTCTTCGGTGCACCACCTTTCTTCTTAAATGTGATGACCTTTGTGGATTTCTTCGTCGATACCTCCGCCGTCTTTTCCTAAACGATTTTTTCTAATATTACATCAAAAAAAACTTGCCTCAAGCACAATAATAGGCTCCTTTTCGGCAATTTCTTTTCGAATTTCTTCCTCTTTTTCTTCAAGTTCTCGATATTTCGCGGTCAACGGGGATAAGAATGTTTCTCTAAATTCAATGCTAGATGGATCTATATCGAATAAAATGACTTCTTCTCTTGTTTTCCGACACGTACCCATGCACCAAACGCGCTTGGTTTTGGGGCAGCTGAATCCTAAATATGAGCTATTTTGGTTTAGTGCATCAAAAGCAACTTCTTCAATTGCCGTCTCAATTTGGCCTGCATCTTCGGCGTCCGTTCCCCCATCAATTTCTTCCTTAACTTCTAAACAACTAAATATAAACTGAGCAAAAACAAATTTTTCACCTTTAAATCCTCCAGGAAGTGGGATTTCAGTATCGTTCTCACCATCACCATCTTGTTCAATCTTAATTTGTTGACGATCCACATAGGGCTGTTTTTTCGGCCTAATAGGTTGGTCCGGATGGGATTTTGCTGCAGCTCGCTTGGCAGCTAAATTTGCACACTGTCGTTGAGTTTAGTTAATGCTTCAGAATTTAATAAAATGACCAAATGTTTTAGAAACCTCGATTCATATGCCCAGGTGCCAATCCAACTCCTGTTGTAGGGAGACCAGCCATTTCCAGCAGTTGTTGTCTTTTGAAATATTCTTCAGGTGTCAAAAAGCTCCCAGGACATTTAGTTCGCTTTTCTAAATGAAAATGTTTATATCACAACGGACATAAAACAACCAACCCTTTGTGTAGATATTCCAATAATATGATTTTCCTTTAGGCATATAGGCTTGCACCCATACAATTTCTTCATCTTGTCCAGTTAACGTAGATGGAAGTTGACGAACTGGTCCACCGGATACTAAAATGAACAATTGTTAATAAATTTTGAGAAAAGTACTTACTTTCGGCAAACGTTTCCTGACCGGGCGCTGATCGAGGCTTGGGAACAGGCGGGCCTTTTTTCCCAACGGAGCCACTACTACTCCCAGCCGAATAATCAGGTGGCAAAGCAAATTGTGATGTATCCTAAGATAAGAAGATAATCACGATGCTAAAATCTCAATCTCTGAAACTCACCACAACGGGCTCATCTCCGCGCCCTCTTCTCGAGATCTCGGAGGCCATTGCAGCAACACCACGATGTTGTCGAGGATCAAATATGTTCGATACAGAACCTAAAGGCTATTTTAACGTTTATTTTAAAAAAACTAACTAGAAGGAAGCGAAGGGCCATGGTAAAGATCTTCTCCGTATTTCACCGCTTGCGCCACAGCAGCTGCTTCCATTTGGGCGATGATCGAGCTGTGTTGCATCAACTACAACGGTTGGATTTAAACAACCCCTTTATTTTTAAAAAATTGTATTTTAAAGTATTATTGGCTAAACAAGTTATTCTATACAAGCCAAAACCTTTTACCTCTTTATCCCTGTCTCGTGCCTTCTTCTGGGATTCACCTATCCTCTGTTGGATCATTGCCTGATGTTTCAATCCTCTCTCATGAAAGTCCCTTGACGCTTTGTTGTCGGTCATCCATACCTAAAATTACTAATACGTATAAAAAGAAGAAAAATCTACTGATACTTCCACCCAAAACACTTACCTTACATATCTCGCAAAAATGCTTGCCAATCGATTTCCAAACCTCGGTCATGTTTCACCTAAAAGTCACAATTAAAAAAAGATTTGAATAAAAAGAAGTTGAAATGAAAATTCCTAAAACATAGACTGGCTAACTTCCGGAATTCGAATACCTGAACGGGAACTCGGGAAGCGTTTCCAAACTCACTTTAAAAACCCCTTTAATAGATACACAAGAATCATAACGACTTTTTTCGAATTTACCCCTTACCCACTGTTCTTTCTGGTAAAAACTTGAGGTATTATATTTTCGAAATTTAGAAATACCTTAGATTGTTGCTAAAACAAGATACATGCCGATAAACTTATTTAAAGCCATTTATTTGGTATGAACAATAAAGTTTTCATTCAGGAGAAGGCACATTAACGAGCAATTTATAAAAGGCAATGCAGATGCGCAAAAAAAATTTACAAACTAGAAATAGAAATAAGAAGAACCTCCTAGAAATAAGAAGAACTAAACAAGAATTAATTTAAGATCACATACACATAAAAAATAAGCAGAGCAAGTTATTGCAAATTGAGATTCCATTCTTTGATATTCGCGTCTTGGCCAATCGAGAGAAGTAGTGATTCGGAGGCCCAAACAACACCATTCACTGGGGACATCGGGTGCGCAGCCTAAAACGCAATTTTAGTAGTGAATTAGCGGAAACATTGTTAAACTTGAAGCAAAAACGTACTCGAATAATAATTGGATGTTCTCCACTGTTTTCGAGGTCCCAAACAATCACATTTGTATCGATACCACCAGTCGCCACTCGTCGTCCAGAAGGAGACCTAATCATGAGACCCAATGTTAAACAAAAAAAAATTCAAAACAAACCAAGCTACACAATTGGCTCTTGCTGTGTGGAATGTCCACTCTTTTGCGTTAACCGATGCAAAGTCCTTGGCCACCGAATAAGGAACAACTTTTCTAAGAAAAATAAATATTTAACAAATACTTGAAACCCAACCGATTTGAATCAGTAGCGGCCAAATGCTCCTCATCATTCGAGAAAGAAACTGCTGTAATCGCTCCGGTGTGCGCCAGTTCTTTCAATGCATTGAAAGTAGATGAAAGAGAGTAAATGTGAACCTAGAACCATAACAAGTTATTGAAAAATTATTAATAAAAATTGAATTTTTACAAAGCTAAGCTAACATACCTTGCTATCGTCCCCACCAACAGCGACAAGCCCTTTTCCTTCAGCCACCGCGATGCATGTGCCGACATAATTGGTAGATATGTCGCACAACTGGTTTCCATTTTTGAACGCGACTACTTTCCTGAATAGAATCGATTTTGATCAATGTTTTAATAAATAGACTGACTTGTTACAAGCAACCACCGCCAGAGTGCCATCTTTGCTGACCGCAACTCCAAGTGGTTGTGATGGCAGTTTAACAGCATGTGCACGTGCCTAATAAGGAAATTTAAGCGCTAGTACAAAAAACAACTTGAGCATCATCAGCCAAAATTGAGAAGTTGATTGTATCATCGAACCCAACCGTCACCAACGTGCCATTTGAGCCAATAGCCATTCCGCTTACCTAAATAGTTTATCAATAAAAAAAATAACATAGAGGGCATACTTGGGTTTTGTGAATTTGGGGTGTGATACGTTTCGATTCACCCGAGCTGAGAATCCATCTTGTTATGTGACCCTCTATAAAGGAAAACAAACGTGAAATTAAATTACAAAAATCCAACCGGAATCAGAGGTGAAGAAAGCCCCTTTATCGGAACTCAAGCTAATATTCGTGATTGGCTTGTTATGTCCATAAATTACGCGGGTTATGTTGCCTAAAATAAATTAAATCTTACGATATCTAACAAACACTAAACCTGAAGCTCCATCGATGGAGTGCACAAAGCCGGCAAGATTTACTGACAACAATCCGGTCTTGGTCCAGAGAACGGATAATTGTTGATCTTCGACAGTGTTTCCAAAATTAACCTAAAATAACAGGCTAGAAAGTATCAATAAAACGGTAATCTCAACGAATTATTTTTAAAGACTTTAAACTTAAATGCCACTGATTTCTATAGATCATATACAATCAACAATACCTTAAAGCACTTACCACGTGCTCAAGCTTTTGCTCCGGTACATTCCAAATTTTTACGGTCTTGTCTCCAGAAGCAGTTGCAATTTTCTGTCCACATGGGCTCCAAGCTAATCCAAAAGCACTACCTCCGTGCGCGGCTCCCTAAACAAGTAATTAACCATTTGAGCGCCAATGGTATGACTTTGCAATACCTTGCATTTCTCATCTACAAGCTCTCCCTTTTTCTCGCCATTGGTCCCCTCAAAAAGGACAACCTACATAAGTTTTTTTAAGGACGCATTTGAATATAATAAACCTTCCCATCAGCTCCAGCAGAGGCAAACAGTTGACCATCCGGAGCATATCTTAAGGGGCAATATTACAATGAATACAATTTACACTAACCTAGTCACCCAAACAAATCTTGTGTGAATATCGTTGAAAAGCGTCTTAAACTTAAATGGAGGCCCTTCAAAAATCGCAACAGTGTTATCCTAAACGTACATTTAAGCTCTAAAATTGTTCAAAATCACCTCAGAGCCAGTAATCAATCTATATGGTCGAACAGGTCGAATATCAATTGAAGAGACGGGTCGGGATTGTCCGGAAAGATCTCCATTAGAAGTTCCAGTGTCGAACAAAATAGCGTGCCCAAAACGTTCTCGTCCTTCGCCAACAACCGCCAGTCTTTTCGAATCATCGGACCTAATTGTCGCGTCTTGAAAAAACCCAGAAAATGTTGAGTACCAGCAGAGATCACGAATGGGTCCAGCAATCATTTGAAATTGATTTTTCAATATATGCGTTTTCTGTGTCGTATCCCATAAACGAACCTAAACTACACTTATCATAAATAAATCAAAAATTCATACATTTCCGACGCTATCACAGGAAGCATTGTAGAAACCGGATGGAGCTTGTTTACAAACTGTTGTTTGGTGCGAATGCTCGGTGTACACATCAGTGCATACGTTATCCGCAATTCGAACAGTAAACACCTAAATGACGACCATCAACAGGTGGCACATATGCGTTTGTCCAAAGCTGTTGCTAATTATCGTTAGTCGGCAATTTGTAAAGTTCGGCGGTTCGGCGGGTATAAGTTAAATTGCTGTTATCCATGGTTATGTTTTGCTATATTCTTTTTATGGTTTATAGTGTAAAAAAGCGTGAGGAACATGATGTTCAAAAGGTTATTTTCATCGTTTTGTTGGGAAAACGTAAGTTTCTTGTTTTTGGTCCATTCTAAGGCTATAAGCATACTCAATTTGTTCATAGAAACAAAGAAAAACTATCAACATGTCAAAACCATGAATAACAGTAATTTAACTTATACCCGACGAACTTTACAAATGACCCGCCGATCCCCGTCGAACTTTACAAATGGTTTTTTTGGAATTAAATGAAATGGAGTAAACCAATGCGCCTACCGTAAATACTGTAATAGTACCCCACCCCCATAATGACGGTGCAGAGTGTTGCGTAGTCTAGCTTTGAAAGAGTTTTTCTCGACACTGGTTTATGCTACAATGCGCATTGGATACCAAAGACGCATTTTTGAAAGGACGGGTGCTTTGAAAAAAAATGGAATACTAAAAAACTTTTGCGACTAAGCGACTGTACGAGGGGGGTGGGGTACTATTACAGTATTTACGGTACTATTTATCACACGCTAAAGGGAAAAGAACCAACATTACGATCCAGATGTGTTCGAATTATCCTAAAACTAACCGAATTTCCCGCGCAGTAAATCAGCTCGTCTCCTTTGGCACTAGCCCCCAAAACAACCGGCTGTCCCCGAACCGTTCGTGGCAACGATGGGAAAGTACGACCTGCTGTATATTCCTCAGCCATCTGAAAACAAGGAGTAACAAAGGACATTTAAAGATAGAGAAAGATAATTGCAAGAACCTATGTTGAAAAGTAAAAATGAACAAAATTTTGGTTTCATAACCACCAAGAGAATTTTTTGATCGATTAAAATAGAAATCATCTTAAAAATCACTGGGAAAAGCTCTAAACAACAGATGTTTGGTTGTTTTCCAGTCAAAACGAATGATGTGTGGAGGCGTATTTTTGGGCGATTGGAGGGAGGGTCAAGACGGTCACTCAAGGATGAAAAGACCTCACGGCAGGAATGGAGTGCAAAAGACGCTTTGGGCGGTAGAGAATGGTAGAGAATAGAGGCTGAGGCGAACAGAAAGTAAAAGAGGGCTCCGGGGTGACGCACGACCAATCGCAGCTGACTCAATGGCTCCGAGAGACTCCTTCACTTAAATTTACGAAACGTTCAGAAAACCGCCATTTTCAAATCGGTAAATACAAAGAAAGTTTTGCCATCATTAATGAATCAACAAATATTGATTGGTTCAAACCAAAACGTAAAAAGAAACTTTCCAGCACATTTATTCAGAAAGTGAACTCTAGTAAGTGAAAAAGTTCTGTTTTTGTTGAACTGGAGCAGGCTTTTTGTCTTCGAATACATTGTTGAGCCCAGCCAAAGTCTAAAAAGAATAATCAAGCATGCTGGAAAGAGATAAAACCAAAATATAACCAACTTGATAATTCGGATCTTGGGTTGGTACAATAAAAGGCCTATCGGGAGCACGAATATTGATTCCAGTTTGTTGCGTAGGCTTCTTTTCTTGAAAAATGTATTCGTTATTGAGACCAGCCAGCGTCTAAAAGTAATTGCTCCGAAATCATGTACACAATGAATCCCACCTGATAGTTTGGATCTGCGAGCGGAATAATTTTATTTCTTTCAGTAGGTGGTCGTGGTGGCTGCTAAACACAAATTTGCAGTGAAACAGCGAAAGCAACCTGTGGTTGAATGAAGCCAAAGCCTTTATCAGGGCCAAAAAAATTATTGTTGTCGAGACCTCTCAGTGTCTAAATTCTAATTAACGCCAGCTTCATAGAATAGGTAATACTTGATAATTGGGATCACTCTGTGGAACTGGTGGTTTCGGAGCTGGAGGCTGGTCCCCCTAAACGTAAAAAAAAATTAATTATTAAAAAGAATAAAGAGTACTGATCGGTTATATCCCCACAAAAAAAGAACCGTGCATTAAATCGGTTATAATTCCACAAGAGTTTGATTCATGCATCAAGTAGTTTATATCCCCACAAAATTAAATCAATTAATTAACTAATTAACTAGTTAACTAAGTTTGTTTATTGCCGGTTCGATTATTAAAATCAGGGCGTCTCTAAAGAATACAATCATCAAAATTAAAGCTCACGTAGCTCACGTTGCTTCCCTTCATTTGCTTCTCTCTTTCTCGTTTTCTTTCATAATCGGAGAGAAGCTAAACAGGAAAATTTTTCGTATTTTGCCGCCAGGTCTAACGAGAAGTTTCCCTAGATTAGTCTCATTCAAAAGTCTCATTTCCGATGTAAAGTGAACGAATTTTGATAAAAACAATAACTTTTGTTGCGCCTAATTTTAAAAAAATGAACCTAAATAGGAATCCTAAAGTATACAACAAAAAAACAAAAAACTTACCGCCGAATCATCTCTGCCCTTCTTTCCTCCCTTTTTTCTCTTACCGCCTTTTTTCGAGCATTGAATGACGATGGCAGAGAAGAAAATGGTCGTCACGAATAAAGGCCACACCTAATTGAATTAACGTTAAATATTAAACCAGCTTTAACGGGAAATATTACGGGAATTTAAAAAAGGGAAAACCTTACCAGAATCATAAAGGCCATTCGAACTGCGAAAATGAAATGAATTTCAATTAAACGGAAAGCCATTATATTTGAAATTTTAAAAGCAAATTTTCCCATTTCAAATGTAAATCAATGCACTAGTAAATGTAAATTTTGTTTCCCGGGAAATGTCACCTTACGTTAATACCCTTGCAAGAGATTCAAAAAATAAAGCCTTCGCTGATTGTCTTTAGCAATAACAATAAGTGTCTGGTAGCCCACTTTTATGCCACAGAGCCAGTAAATTAAAATTAAAAGTAAATTATAGTGGCATTTTTTATCTATCATCGCTTCAGATGCAAATACCTGTGAACGCTGAACAACATCTAAATGAGACAATGGCCGTAGAGGACAGTGGCTTCACTACTTGTTGACCTTTTCAAAGCGTATATTCATAAGCGTATATTCATTCAGTAAAGTTATCGAACACAAAGCACAAGCATAAAATATGAGAACCACATAGTGCATACACATGATTTAATTAAAATTTCGAATAATCTCAGCAACTTTCTCTCCTAGTTTGTTAGCTACTTCGGCATCTTCAGCTTCCGCATACACTCGAACAGTTTTTTCTGTTCCAGAGGGCCTAGAGTTTAGAAATTGTCTTAAACATTTAATGTAAATAAATTAGTTTACCTTGCGAAGGCTCGAATCGCCCCAAGCTCGTTGACCAAATGATCAATTTTATCCTGAAGTCCCAGTGGAGCTATTAGTCTAGTCTCATCCCACGTCGTTTGAAAAATTGATCTATCAGTCACCTAAATAGAAACACTTTACCATACAAAAAGCGCCGCTAAATTTACCGGAACTTTGATTTGTATATTGGGAGCGTCGTGATAGAGTTTGTTTGCCCAGTCCTCAACTGTCCATCCATAATATTTCAACAGGAGTTCCACGGCGAGCAAATCGGCCAACGCATCTCCGACAACTTCATTGATTAGTTGAGAAAACCAATAAAGACGATTCTTTGGTGGGCTTGACGTTTCACCACTAAACAAATATTATAACGTTAAATTCTCTACACAAACCCAGAGATTAGCGATTTGAAATGATCAGAGAAACAAATTGTGCCATGGCCATTTGCTTCAAAATAAACACCAATGTCATATTTCATCGCCTCATGATGGAGATGTTTTACGCCGGTTGGAACAAAAATTGGATCTACACCCTGGAAACAAAAAAATAAAATAAAGGAAGAATAAACCAAACTCACTAATTGATTCTTGATATAAGCCGAAGAAGCCCCATTGGCATATGCTGTTTGCACTATTCCAATTGTAAGCTGATCAAAAACCTTGGCTTCTTTTAATTCCTAAAAGGATATTGTAAGCTAAAATACCTTTGATCACTCACCTCAATTAAAAATTTGGCAAATAAAACCGCTATTTTGTCACCATCGAGCAAAATCACATTTTTGGACTCAGAATTCTAAATTCAGAGCTAAAGTTTGCACATTATATGTAAAAAAAACCTTCGAGTAGAAGTAGACAAGACGATCTGCATCTCCATCCAACGATGCACATCGTACTCCTTCAATACAGGTAGGTACGGGTGATTGCTTACAAATCTTTACAAAGTCAGCTCCACACTAAAGCTAGCTTCGTACCCCAAAGAAGAAAGCAAAGCCTACCTCATGGTTGAGTTCTCCGACTTCATTTTTAAAATCGACTTCCATTAAATTCTTCGGCAACGCATCAAAAAGTTTCCGAGCTTTTGGTGCTCCAACGCCATTTGCACAGTCCAACATCAGCAAAGTGGGTGAACTTTTGTTCGGGAGTAACTAAAACATTTTTAGCGCATCATTAAGCAAAAGTTACTTCATAAAATTGCCGAAAAGCCGTGCCAATCTTGGTATAATATCCATCTTCTCCCGGTGGACCAAACGCTGGGTCGTTTTGAACTCGTACAGCATAATGGAGTTGAGGCGTTGTTAACAACCCTAAATTGTTAATAGTACAAACATAAATCCCTAATTACTCACTTACCAAGAAACTCAAAATCCACGTTGCAGAGTGCAGCACCAGCCTTTGCAGCATCAGCCAAATGTTGCCCGGAAGGTCGAGTGTCTACCGCACAAATCACTCTGGCCTCCTTTGCATCCCCCAACTGGAGCGTTTCTTCAAGCTTCTTCATCTCGCGTAGAAGTTCATCATCGGGAATCGAAACTAACATCGTTGCATGATTCTATAAATGCCTTTTAATGAATGGTAGTCAATTTTACCTCCCATTCCGACGCAAGCATTTCGCCATTTGGGTCCACAATTTTCACTCCATTGTCACATTGTGGATTGTGAGATGCCGTAATCATCAATCCAATCGCCTTGTTCAAAACACTGAAGTAAATCTAAAGTTAAAAACTTTACTAATATTACCGTGAACGAAGTGCTGCGAGGTATCCGACTCGCAGTGCGACGAATGGGAGCACTTCAGCTTTTTCACGAAAGCCGGCCGTTCCATAGGAAATTCTAAAAATGAAACTTGTTGATACAATAAATTACCTACTTGACGGTGTCATCGAGAGGGTTTGACTGGCCGTTGTGATCGATGTTCGACCTGCGGTTGAAGCGTTCGTCGATCGACATCGTCATCGAATGTCTAAATCTTGAAAAGAATAAAATTAATTAGAAAATAAAAATAAAAAGTATAAAAGTGAGCTATAGTGCGATTTGCGAGCGTTATCGGAGATTTTCAAGACAAAAAGTGTGGAGTATGATAAGAGATGAAGGGGTTTCGGAGGCAAAACAAACAAAAATAATCTCGGTATAATTTTTGCGGAGTCATTAAGGTAAAATAAACCAAACAAATTACTTAGGTAGGTGTTAGTTAGGTAACATAAATGACAAATACAGTTTAGAACGAATGACCCCCAACTAAAACTAATTTCTATTTCTAGCAAAACATATCACACAAATTTGAGCGTTTCTTGGTCGACTATTTGCTCTAGTGGTCAAAAAGTTCTCGTCTTTGAACGTTCTTTGTGTGTTCATTGTAGGAAAAGAGTCCGCGAGGATGGGTATTTAAAGAAAGGGATATCCCACCATTCCATACGCAAAACTCATTGTATTGCTATTACAACTTTGTTTATTGTAGGAAAAGTTTATTGCTGTTCTGTTATGTTTATTGCTAGTCCTACTCGTTTAACGTAGACAGCTAAATAAAAATGGTTTACTTTCAGGCTCGGTAAAATAAAAAAAGTGTGCTTGACCTTTTAGAAACCATTACCGTTGAACAAAGTTAGTGCATAATAGAAAATGGGATCGCAAAAATTTTAAAATTTTGTGAACTCCGAACTTTCTCAACAATTTTTCACCTCAAAAAGTATCTTCAAATTATGGAAAGCTTATCGATTTCCATTCTTTTTTTCATGAAACTTTCGGGTGTTCCCCGTTGATTTTAGGTGTTTTATTGAGTTCAAGGGTCGGATCAAAGAGAGAAAAGTAAAAAGAGAGAGAAAGTGATTGACAATAAACACTCACATGTTTCTCTCAATTCCCTCACATTTCCCAGGTTTTCTAAAGGGGTTCCACGGGAGTTTCTCTTCTCTATTGACTCTCTTCTGTTTCTCTTCGTCCCTTGGATTCCTCTCCCGTCAAACAGTCTTTTCATGGCATTTTTTTTCGGCTTTCCATGTGCCACAGACCAAAATGCCCGAAAAATTCCTTTTTTCTTTTCACTTGGAATGGCAATTATTACGTAGCCACTGATATGGGTTTTGAGCGCTCCCTGGTTCTTTGGTCTGTGTGGTTAAAAATTCCACAAATTTTCCTCTATCTAGTTTCATTTCATCTTTACAAGTTAAAATATTATTTTAAAGTAATAATTTTTTAACTTTCAGTTATGAAAGGGTCCATAGTTCAACGACAATTCGCGAGGGTAGCTCGGGCAACTGTTGCAAAGTAAGCGAACTTTTGTGATTTGAATTTTTATAACTTTATCAATGCTTTAGAACTGTGAAACCTATACCCAGTTATGTGCACGGTGTCTCAAGTACTCCGCTTATACATGATGTAAGTTTGTTTTTAAAAAAAGTTATTTATCTTTGTTTAGACAGTGGGTGATCGCCTTCTACAGGCCGTTGAAGAAGTGCCGGATAAAGAACTCGTCTACTTCCGACACCAGAAAATTCGCAAAACTTATGAGCAATTCTACTACGATGTAAGTCATAGTTGTAAGTTTGAAGTTTAGCTTTTAGAAACTGATATTAAAATTATTTCTTTGTTTAGGTACGCAAGCTGGCCCGGGGATTTCTTCGAATGGGACTTGTGCCGGGTGATCGAATTGGAATGTGGGGTCCGAATTACTACGAATGGATTTGCACACAATATGCCGCAGCTCTAGCTGGCATGATACAGGTTGTTGTTTTGAAAATATAAGGGTTTATCCGAAAATCTGTTTGTTTTTCACAATCGAGCGATGGAGAGTCTAAATGAGTTTCTCGATCACGAAAAACTACCGGTTTCTATTCTTTTTCTTTCGAGATCACCCAAATCTATTTACATTTTCACCAACTTTTTCGTACTTTTACTTCAAAGAGTTTTCGCTTTTTTATAGAAAACAGTGAACGTAAAAAATTCGAAAAAGTGAATCTGATCAAAACTTTTCGGGGTTGAATAGAGATTTCAGAGAAAATTTTTCGAAAGCGATTTTCCTAATCGAATTATACCGGGAGCCATCAGAGCAAAACATTTGAACAAATGTAAAAAGTTTTCACTGAATTGGTGGTTCCTTTTTTGTTCGTCATGAAACATTATGCTCAAAGATTGAAAACTTTTATCTTTGCTTTTGTGATCGTTTGAGTGATTGTGAGGTCACTGATCGATCACGAAACGAACAGTTGTTGTGAGGAAAAAAAAGAGTAATCCGATCAGCTCAAATCTATTGGCATAAAAGCTTCATCATAAAATTGAAAGGATTTCTTGAACTTCTTGAAAATGAGAGAAAACAATAGTTTAAAGTGGATTTATCAAAAAGTTTAAGTTACTGATTTAGGTGAATGTGAATCCAGCCTACCAAGCGGAAGAGTTGAAATATGCATTGAACAAGGTAATATTTAATTTATCTACCGAATTCCTATATCTTTAACCACACAACTTATGCCAACCGGTTGAGTGACTTCGGTCATGAAACCATTTGACGGTGCTCTGGTCTTCGGATCATGACACCTTTTGTGACAGATAGATCTTCGGGTCTTGAAGTCTTTTGGGATATGATGGTCTTATGGCCTGATTGTTGTTTTTTATTTATAAATAAATATTTACAACTTGGTAACTTTGTATATATACAAATAAACTATTATTTCATTTCTATTCATAGAATTCTTATATTATAGGAAACAAATAATATTAAGGTTGGAGTCCGTGCCTTGGTTACACCAAGAAACTTCAGAAAAAGCAACTATTATGGAACGTTAGAAAAGGTACATATTTGATTTATTCTAGCCACGATCCCGACATGTCCTAATTTAAACGGAACGCTAAGTTCTACTTACTTTTTGTAGCTGATCCCTGGACTGGACTCGTCTCCGTTAGGCGAAGGGATGGTTCGATCAAAAGAATTGCCTCATCTGGAGCACTTGATCATGATCTGTGAACCGACATCTTTACCGTAAGTTTGTTTTTTGTTTGTAATAAAAAAATGATATACTGTGCATCCAAACGTAATAAAATCACCTTTGAGACCAATATAAATTTATTAAGGGTTAATAAAACATGAGTCTTGGACTTCTAAGTATGTGCATGTACCCGAAAAAATCACAGGCGAAAGTTGGGCAAGAAAAGAAATAAGTTATAAATCTACGCCAGGAAATTATAGAATAATTAGTTTTAAAATCGGTCTACAAGTTAGACCTACTCGTTTGTAGTTTTTGAGATAATCGTAGAGACGGCATGCTGAAGAGCTGTTGGGACAAGGGAATCATTAAGGAATTCGATCACGGCCTGTTTATTCGTTTCTGAAGTTTGAAATTTGAAACTTATAACTTTGTCCCAGCTTTCTCTATCATTGACAAAACAAACTTGTCCATTCAACAAAATTCTCGGGCCCGAGGCTGTCTTTTGCTTGTATCAATTTTCGATGGGCTAATTCCCATCCAGTAATCCGGTCTTCTCTTGTTTGTCTTTTCCTAAATAACAACTTATTTTGCTTTAAAAATTGAACCACTTAATTTTTTGTAACTACCTTTTTTCTTCTAAACGATTTTCCATATAGATGTAGAATTCTTGCGGGCTTAACCCGGTCCGTTCGATTTCATCGCACAAGAATTCAAATTCTGCTTCACCCTCAATCTAAATTCTTGTTACAAAACTAATGTTTTATTCTAAATTTAGAATTCAAGTACAATCTGGTGATTTATTGCAAGGAAATTCGCTCACTCACCCTTCCCGTTTCTCGTTTATCGATTTTCTCTTTTATGGCTCGTAACCTTGGTTTTCTAAAAGATTCAGTTTGATTTTAAAATAACAAAGTTTACTTGAGAAAATTGGAGGCAAACCATTCATAGGCGGTTCCGACGAAAAAGTTTGAAATCGCCGCCAACCATGCAGCCATTTCTAAACTTTTAATGACATTTCTTTTAAAACAAATCAAAGATTAATCCTAAGCACAAAAATGAACAAGCAAAATATGAAAAATGAACAATTGTGTGAAAAAAATGGGACGGCGTTGACGGATCATGCGCCAAATAATCGATTACGCAAGAAAAATTGAAATCGAGATAGTCGTTTTGTGGGGTGGCACAGAGGGAGTGAACAACTATTGGAGGGGGAAATTGGCAAGAGAAATATTTGCAGGGAAAATCCCACTAAAGGGATTGCTTGCGGCAAGAAAATTGTAATGCACTTCAATTTGTTTGAAACTGGGGAAACTTGGAAACTTGTTGAACAATGATAACTTGTTAATCGAATATAACCGATGATAAAAGCTGTCTTTTAGTGGAGCCTGGAATTATTCGGATGTTTTCGAATCGGGGACAAACGATGAAGAGAGACAACTTGAGAAAATCGAGGCTCGAAACGGACCCGACACACCAGTCAACATACAATATACTAGCGTTTGTTTTTAGCTTACAACACTAAAATCGTCTCACTAGGGAGAGGCACCAACTTAAGGTGGAGTTTAAGCCTATAGAATGGCACACTGGTAGAGTTTGACACGGGGAATCCGAATCCGTTTTTATTTTTTCCTGCGGACGTCTCAATCGCAATCGTCTCAATTCAACACAATACACAAGACATAAAAACCTAATAAATTTGGGTTTTAGGATACAATTATGTTATGTTTTAGACTTCGCGATATTTAAAAGAGGCAACATTCTCAGGGTGATTTCCCAAATTTATTGGATTTTTTGCTCAGGTTTTTGCTCAAGATTCCAAAAGTTGATTGAATATGCATGCTGTTCGACCGGATACATTGCAAGCTTTTGTTACGCCGCTCACCATTCTGCTTTTGCTCGAACGCAACATCAATGATTTGCAGCGAATCGTTCTGCGGTGAGACGGCTTTTATCCGATGCCCTCGATGTGAAGAATATTTTTGCTTCTTATGCTTTTTCCACTTTATGCATCAATGCTGCTTTTTTGTGTCTTGTGTCGAAAATTGAGTTTTTAAAAAGAGTAAGGCTACAATTTTCAACAAGTACCTAAATTAGTTTAGCTATGTTTTATACTATGTACAGAGCTTTTAGGAAAAAGCAAAAAAATTCGGCGCTAACCGGAACCGAACCATGATCGTCCGCCCATGAATCCCACTGCGCTACCTCGATACCACTGATTGAATATCTGACTTCGCTGGAGAGTGCCCTAAATTCCAATGCAAAAACTTTGATGCCAAGTATTTGGCGATTGAGACGTCCGCAGGAAAAACTAAAAACGGATTCGGATTCCCCGTGTCAAACTCTAGCAGGGTGTCATTCTATAGGCTTAAACTCCACTTTAAGTTAAATCTTAAAATCCTCTCCCTAGTCAGCAACCTAAATCTTTCTATTTTAGGGAACGACGGGCTACCCAAAAGCGGCCACTTTAACTAATCACAACATTGTCAACAATGCGTACTTGACAGGACTTGCCACCAATTATCACATTGGGGTATGATTGTTGTTAGTTTTATGCTTTATCAATGATTCATTTTTTTGTTAAAGCTTTGGATAATTTTCTCGTTTTTAGGAGCATCGTTTATGCATCCCGAATCCATTATATCATTGTTTTGGATGTGTAATGGGGACTCTGAATGCCGTTGTCCACAAGTTGCTCATGTTTTGATAAACTAGACAATTTCTTTTCAGACAATCAATCGTCTTTCCTGATGCTTGGTTTAATCCTGGTCCCACTTTGGATGCTGTAGAAGAAGAGAAGTAACAAATTACTCTCTTGTCTTCGTATTTGAGCTTTTTAGATGTACGGCTCTTTACGGGACACCGACGATGTTTGTGGATGTCTTTAAACATGGAATTGAAGGGAGAGATTTATCCTCGTTAAGATCAGGTAATTTTTAGAATAACAACTGACACGTTTGCAATATTTTGCATACATTCCTTTAATTTCAGGGTACATTGCCGGATCACCGTGCCCAGTGGCTCTTTGTGAACGAATGGTCAATGAATTGGGACTAGTTGATTTGGCTGTTTTGTATGGTTAGTTGAATAAAACTCTGCTGCTCAGATCTCTTTTCTAGGGTCTACTGAGTTATCGCCAATTGTGACCGTCTCCCGTCTTTCCGATCCCCCACTACATAGAATTCGAAATGTTGGCTACGTATCAGCTCATACAGAAGTTGTTACTGTTCAAATCAATCTGTATTGTAGTTTAGTTATGTGTCGTCGATAAAGAGGATGGCATTGTGCCGCGTGGTGTAAAAGGAGAGCTTTTAGCAAGGTAAGATTGAATTTTGAATTCAGTTTCTTTTTGTTTAGAGGTTACATGTTAATGTCCGGCTATTTCAACGACGAGGAAAAGACGAAAAAAGAAATCACCTCAACAAGATGGTATCATACCGGGTATTTTTTGGCAATTTTCTCTGTTACTTTTGTTTCTTGTAGAGATACAGCGATTATGAATGAGGATGGAGCAATTTCAATCGTCGGGCGAACAAAGGATATGATTATTCGGTTAGATTAGATTTTAGTCATTTTCAAGCTTTCATAAGCTATTTTTTTAGAGGAGGCGAGAACATATATCCAACGGAAATTGAGCAATTCATGTTTCGACTTCCATACATGGCGGACGCGCAAGTAAGCATGGTCTTTGAGTGGGACAAATAGGTCAACAACTATACACTTTTTGTATAATTCGATTATGAACCTATTTTTAGGTGATCGGGGTGCCAGATGAGCGCTTTGGTGAGGCGGTATGCGCTTGGGTGATGTTGAAAAATGGGTTCGATAACGTAACGCCTGAGCAAATCAAAAATGATTGTCGAGAAAAGGTATTATATGCGTCATAAAACTTCTCTTTAGTTTTATCTTTTAAACTCAGATGGCTCACTACAAAGTACCCGCTTATATTTGCATCAAGAAACAAGAAGATTTCCCGGTGACTGCTACAGGAAAAATTAGAAAGGTTAGCTTTAAATTCAGGCTGAGAAAGGTGATCTGTAAAAGTTTTAATGCAACAGAATAACGGTTGGGGGTTGCAACAAAATAACAATATAACAAATTTTATAGGTTGAAATGCGAGAAATTGCGAGGAAAGAGTTGGGATTGGAAAATATCAAGGGATCCTTCGATTAAAGAAATTATTTTTTTTCATTAAATTAATTTCTAATTTTAAAATCCAAGTTTTTCTTGATAATCCCTTGTACATTCCCGTATTTCTTCTTTTAAAAATCATTTGCACTTTTCATTTTTATACATAGCTTTATGCATGAGCTTATACTTCTCTTTAGATAGTGATCTTAAAAATAGTTTTACTTGTGGAGAGAATTTTTAACTAAACTTTGTGATACTTGTCTTTGTTTACTCGGTTTTAAAAACGTAATACAGTTTGAAAGAGTTTGTATTTATAATAATAATAAATAAGATCGCTCTTAATGCAACAATTTGTGACGTGTTACCTAGAAGATGGTAGTATATATTTATGACTTGACCAAAATATGGTAGTATATATTTATCAGCGTTGGAAATCTTTCCGCAGAATTTCCGTTTACTTTTCACTCTTCTCAATAAGCAAAAGTCTCTCCAATCGTTGTTCCAATTCTTTCTTTTCCTTTCGAGAAATCTTTCGTTCGGAACTGAAATTCGGTTTAAACCTTTTTTGAGATTTGTAGATTTGTCTTTCAACTTTGTAGATTTGTCTTCACTCACCGGTACTCTTTTCTCTCATCTTCCAATTTATTCGCCAAAAGTTTGCATTCTTCTCTTAGCGCCGCTATCAAATGAGCTTGATCCGAGATCAGCTTTTCGAAAGCTAAAGACCGAATTGCCGTTTAGGTGGCTCAAAGTTGGGCTTATTTACCTTTAGTTTCCCCTTTATTTGTTTCCACTAAGTCATCGTCTCCCGTAAAACGTAAAACCTAAAATTGATCTCTTTCCCTTTCCAACTTTCCCTTTTCCCCACTTTTGTTCTCAGCGACACATTCTCGTCATTAAGTATTTTTATTCTATTCATCATCACCGCTCTCTCTTTTCGCAATCCTAAAATTTTTACTAACTAAAATTCATTTTATTTTCTCCAAACCCTGAACATCTTGAGCCAATTGTTTGTTGTGTGTCTCGAAGAAATTCTCTCGTTCTTTTAAGATTTCTAGCTGAAATTTCTTTTGAAACTTTTACCGAAGTTTTGATGATAAACCTCGGCTTTCATTTTCCCATTCAGTTCCTCATCGTGAAGTCGTGCGGCTGTAAGTAATCATTGGAAACATCTTCAAAAGTTTGTGCTAATTAAACACAAACCTTGATTTCTGATCTTTTCCTCGGTGAGTTCTCGACTCAGAATTTCCATTTTCTCGTTGAGGTTTGCCGCCAGATCTTTTCGGTGTTCCCACGAGTTTTCCAGATCGGATTTCAGCTGAAATATTGGAAGCTCTTTTGGCCACTATCTGATTCTATCGTGTGCCCAGGGTACCACGGTTGTACGGTCCTTCAAAAAATCGACTAACCTCTTCTTTTTGCCGCTTCAAATCGTGGATCTCGTTTTTGAGTGCATCCGTCGATCGTTTCTCGCGGTCCAACGAAAATTCCTAAATGCATTTTGAGTATCGAAAAAGATTTCTACCTTGCAATACCTACCAATTCTCGTGTTTTCGCCTCAAATTCGAGCACCTTTCCCACGGGATTCATGAGGGTCGCGTCGTGTCTCATCTTCTCAATTTCCTTTTCGAGATCAGTCGTTAAGTTCTGAAAACTCTTTTAGGATTTATTAGATTACAAATGGTGTAGGTAGTTTTCTAAAATCATATGCATTTTCGACCTTCTGTATGTCTAGTAGATTGATGGCTTCTCGCAATTTTTCCCCCGTTTCCATCTGATCACTCCTCGCTTGATTGCCGTCTCTTTCCTGAAACGGTCCGTCATTTTTTGAGTATTTCATTTTGAGGGGAACTCACAATTTGTATATTTTCCCTTTTCAATCGATCCACTTCTTCTCTGCATGTTTGTACTTCGAGCATCAACGATTCCAACATCACATCCTGTTTCTCCAAGAGAACCAACAATTCTTCGGAGGTTGGAAGACCTAAATGATGGTATTTCACTCAAGTATCACAGAATTCATTCAAACCTCCTTTTGGCCGCAAATCCAGACCGATCTCCGAATTCATTAGGCTAAATATTGATAAACAAAGAAAATTGATTCTCGAAGATAGTAACAGAAGTTAACAATTTCTCAAAGAGCCATATCAAATTTCGAATCATTTATAAAGTTCATCATTTGTACAGACTCGAACGAATTCAGAATTGTATGATCTGACGTTGTGTGTGACTATTCATAACATGACTATCCGCTCACAATATTGTGCATTTAAACCAAACTTCTTCACGATTACAGAACTTTTATTTTTGAAAAGAAAAGGTGAATATATATCACAACACGGTCGACCGAATAGATAAAAAAAGAACACATACACAATATAATTTTTGATTTGATGTCGGTGGGTGGAAATGTGGGCAGAAAACGATGGGATGGTTGAGAGGGATTTATTTTCATCTCACTAACAGACAAAAAGTAAAACTCTTTAACCCTCACGCCCTCTAGAGCCCGATCTACGGTCGATAATTAGAAGGAAGGTTCATCTGATTTCTGAAGAAAATCATTTGACTACATCACTACCACACAAAAGAACACCAAACCAACAACGATAAATATTTTGAAGACCGATGAGGAGAAAACACAAACCGTGCGTGCAAAATAAAGGAAAATGTATATCGGGGAGGCACTCAAAAAAATAAATCGGGTTCCCGATTTAAAAGAATATGCCAGGTAAATATTTTTGAAAAGCCAATCACAATTTCACACTTGCCGAGAAAATAAATAACTTTTTCCGAAACCGATTTTTGGATGTACAACAACAACCATGATAATTTGAACGAACATGGGGAGAGAATTCACAAGACTTACACAAAAAAGGAGTAAACTCACAAGAAACAGCACTCTAGGGTTTAAATAATGGCAATATTTGATAGCAAAACGAGTGAAAGAGATTAACGAAGGAGATAATCTATTGGTTTTGGAGTTCCTTGAGGTGAAGAAGTAGCGTCTTCATTCGGCTCACATCTTTCGTGCTTCCCTTCGGCTTCGACTCGCACAACTTGGCAATCTCATCCCATGCCGCTTCACTGCCCTGTTCGCGTTGACGCTGTGCTGCGTGCTCGGCTTCCAATTTCCTAAAATAAAAAAAAGCTACCAGACTAAAAGCTCAACAGTTTTTGAATTTAATATTTTATCTTTAGCATCAGCAATCGACTTCTCGCTTCGAGGTTTCTGCGAAATGAAATTTGATACCTTACTACTTTTATAAACAAATCTAGACTAAACAACAGGAGGCTCTGGCCGGAAATGTAATTTATTAGGATAAGTATAATAAAACAACAAACCTGTTATTTTCCTTGGCTTTGACAAGGGAAGCATCCCGCTGAGAGTTCCATTCCTCCAAGTCCTTCTTCGCCTGGGATTTCCATTCGGCTTTTTTCTTTTCCTCGGCAGCATCTAAAAATTGATTAATTGAAGTCTACAAAAACAGTAAAACCTTTCTTCTCAAGCATTTCCCGTTGCTGTTCCCTCCATCGACGAATGTTCTCTGCCTCGATTTTTGGCACCATTGGAACAGGTGATGGCCCTGTGGATGAGCGACCGTTCTGGCTAGCCGAGTTGTCCAAATCTGAAACAAAACAATTATATAGAAGTGAAAAATAAACATGTCTTCACGTGCTAAATGTTTGATCACGTTGGTTTAACAGTTGCAATAACAAGTGTCCATCAGTTTAATTCCCTTTTAACAACAAACTTGAGGCAGCACTCATGTCAGCGAAAGCCGAATCAACTCCAAAATCATTGGTGTGTGAAGGTGGATCGGCGACGGCCATTTGTCCAAAATCTTCGACGAAGGCTGGAGGAACATCTAAATTAAAAGATATATTGAACAATCTCTTCACAAAGTATAGCCATTACCCATCACCATTTTTGTGGATAAAGAAACCGCTATGAAGCGGATAGGGACAAATTTCCGCAACAAATAGAGAAAGAAAACAAGCACCAAAATAACCCCCACTTTCCGAGCCCACAATCTCAAAACCTTCGGATGGATGTTCGGAGTTTTGTGAAGGGGCATTCGGTGATGTTTGCGAGTTATCGACTAAATTTTTCTTCGCTTGAGAGGAAAAAGCACCCGTGAATGAAATAGGGCAATGAAATGGTGAACAACGTAGAAAATTAAGTGTTAAGAACAAACCCTGTGTTGGTGGAGGAGCATCTCCGTCAAGTTCGGCCAGCAAGTTCTGCTCTCTTTGGAGGAAATCAGCCACCGGGTCTGCCATCTAAACCAATAAAATTTAAAACAAGGATACAAATGCGGAGATGCAAAGAAAGTCAAACATCTAAATAGTTAGAAAAGATTGAAATGAGCCGAAATAGATCTAGGTGTAATTATAATGAGACGAAGCGTTGGGAGCAAGTAGATAAATGGCGTTTTTATTTTTGGATAAAAACAAAAATATCGATCAGAATGATCCAGTTTTCTTTCTGGCTAAATCGCACAAAGAGAATTGGACGACTGGAATCTCCGGGGTGACGAATCCGCATTTCACGAGTACGCGACGCGTGTTAACGACGAAAAGAGCGCAAAATAGGGATCACAAAAAAGTGCAAATTTATTTTACACGCTCGAGAAATCACAAATGACGTGAAAACTTTATACCGGTTCTATTACATACCGTAAATACTCTAATGGAAGCCTTCCCCGCATATAGTGGCGTTGGGTAGTCTAAGTTTACACTCAAAGAATCGCTCATGTCAGCGCCCAGTATTTTAACTGCAACGTTTTTTTTAAACTTTAACGACGATGCGCTTCTCCGATATTTGTGCGTTCAAGGAATCGACGGCAATCGATTATTTCGTCACCAAAGGAGTCATCCAGTCGTGGATTTGCAACTGTGGCGAATCGATGAAAGTCCGCTCAAAGGGAAAAGATCTATTTCGCTGGGTATGTGACACTTGCGTACGGCGAAAGGTCCCTAAGCATTCAAGAGGAATTCGAGTCGATAACTTTTTGCAACAAAGCAAGCTCCCGTTCGTCACAATTTGTAGCGCTGCCAAAATTTCCTCCCCCGATTTTCCTTTCGCTCGGAGAAGCGCATCGTCGTTAAAGTTTAAAAAAAACGTTGCAGTTAAAATACAGTCCCGGAAATGCATTTTTCGAGGGGACAAAATTTGCTCCCCCGATAATCGGACCGCTCCCCTGATCTTGGAAAAGAACCACTTTTTTTTCTAAGGCTGGTTAATGCTAAAAATCTGTGTTATATCTCAAAAGATCCCTCATTTTCTCTACTTTAATTTGATACTCAAGGGCGTAGAAACAAACGTACTGGTGTCAAGATGTGAGCGTTTGTTTGAGAGTAAACTTAGACTACGCGACGCTCCTATAGGGGGCTCTTCTATTAAAATATTTACCGCTATGATAATCGCAAATAGGGCCTTTTTAAGGTTGATGCTGAGTTTGTTTTTGTTTCTTCTTCCTTTCATTGCTTCTCGACGGCCGCATCCTTTACGTGTTGAATGAAACCTCTTCCCTCTTCGTGTAACTTCTGGACCACGGCCTTGTACTTGCCTGGATACTTGGTCTGAAAAGAAAAGTTAACCAATAAAAATATAAAAGAAATGCACGGAAATGTAGTCGAGAACGGTTGTGTAGACAAAGAGGTATTGAGCTTCATTTTGGATGGCGTGTGCCCGTTGGTTACGCAGTTTTCGAAACAGATCCATAACCTAAATCACTAATTACCAATTGCACACAAAAAAACGAACATCCGCGCCTTCTCCGTTGAAAAGACGTTGTAAAACCCAATCAATGAGGATGATCGTTCCAGTTCGTCCGATGCCCGCCGAACAGTGCACCACAATGTTGCCGGTGATAAGCTTGTCACCCTGACGTATACATGATATTTTTAATATAAAAAAATTACTACCGTGGCAATGAGTCGAAGGAAGCGCAAGACAGTAATACCTTTTAGTGGAACGCCATGGTCGGGCCATTGTCCAAATTGAATCAACCTAGGCTGTTAGTAAAAAAGATGTACAATCCTCAAAACTACTTTATAATGCGGCTATCGGAGCATCCTTCTGGGAGCAATTCGATGGTGAGCGACGTGAATTTCTCTTCGACTTCGACCTTTTTGTTGTTGACGAAAAATTTGCCGTAGTTTTTGAAATCGCCCTGCTTCTCTGGCCAGTATTGTGAACACTGAAAATGCAAAATTAATATCAAAATGTTAGAAAACTTAAAGTAAAAAAAATTCTGATGAGTAAGTGCTAATCAACATTCAAAAGTTTACCTTCTGTCTACTCGCTTCGGAAATCTTGCAAAGTTGAACAATTGTGACCACCTCATGTTCCCAGCACATCCGCCAAAAATCGACGATCGTTGCCTCGGTTGGTGCTTGCGTAGCAATGTATACTTTTTCGTGGCCTTCGAGCTATAATAAAATAACCATTTAAAAAGACAATTTACGGTGCAAATGTAGTTGGGGGGGGGGCAATATGTAAATTTGTCTTGACATGTTGAAATTTTACACTGGGGGATTTTTGATGATGCGGAATCGATTGGTGATACTTTCAAACTATGATTTCTTGTTTTTTTGACGTTATTACACTTGGGCCTGGCTTTGATATTCTGTTTTTTTTAATGTTTTTTTCCTCGGTTTTGTAACTTTTCTTGAGTTTTTCTTTAGTGTATGGCGCAAGCAAGTTTAGCAGCGGCGACTAGGCTTGAATTGAAGGCGTTTAACCTCTTAAGAGAATGGTCCAAACTCGCGATCAAGAGTGACAAGGATTTCGATGATTGGCTGGGCCGATATGGGACTGCTTTGGAAAGATCGAGATCGCCCGAATTGTGGACGTGCGATACCCTTAATTAAGCAGGGGAGCGAGTGTAAGATTGAAATTCGAGTGCAGCTTGAGAACATGTAGGAAGAAAGTTGGCTTTTTGAAGGTGAATTCCACGATGCATACCGATTGCTGGCATAGTTATAATAACCTCGCCAATCTCGGTTATGTTTACGGTTATACATTGAATCATTCAAAAAATTTTGTTAATCCGACAACAGGCGTGCACACGCAACAAATTGAGTCTTTAAAGTCAACTCAAAAAAAATTAGGATGAGAAACGGAATTAAAGGTGAGTTCCGGGATGATCATTACTATGAAGTCTTGTGGAAATGGAAGCATAATTCTGAAAGCTTGCTATATGTCTTTTGGGATGCAGGTGCCAAAAAATATCCTTTATTTTAAATGTTTTGTTGCCATCGTTTTATTGTTGTTATTAAAGTTATTGTTGCATTCTTGCAAAATCAAAATAACAAGAAATCATAGTTTGAAAATATTACAACATCTACAATTTCAACATGTCAGTTGAGTTTACAGATTCCCCCCTCCCAACTACCTTTGCACCCAATTTACAAATGAAATCTTAGCGTTAAATTAAAAAATGACCTTGCACCAATTTGCATGGATGTAATCGCCTTCTCCGGGCAGCTCGGGCGTCAATTTCACTCGCGTATCTTCAAAGCATTGCACATCCTAAAACAAAATATCACTTAAAATAGTGATCAAATATGCCTACCGGGTAGCGGTTCTTTGTTGGATTGACCAGAAAAGAGCTTGCGTTGAAATTCGGAGGTTGATACGTCTTTAAAGTCAAGTATTGTTGACGAATCCCCTCAATACCTAAAAAAATAGAGTAGAGTATGTTACTACTAAATTTGCGCATAAACAAGAGCCAAGACCTGCGTAAAGATTGAAACAAACATACCACATGTAACGGCCCAACCGACAAATTGATCAACGCACGTCAACGCTGCAGCTGCCGAAATGTCAGTCACCCCAGCCGTCCCTGGAGCCATCCCTGCCTTGCAACCTTTGTTATCTTTCTTTTCCGCGTCTGGCTTCCAAGGCTAAAGCAAAAAGTATTAAGCTTATTTTAAAAGCGTCAAAAACTTGAAAAAACATAAATTTACAGGCTGCTTATTCATTTTGCTAGCCCAGTACAATATTTTGATTATCTAGTCAAGTGTCAACTATGTGTTCTAAGACATAAGACTTAACATCCTTAAACACAATTAAAATTATAATATTACCTTTGATATCTTATTCGCGTGTTCAGCACTCCAGTCGGCTGCATTCTCTTTGTTTCTCCGACCGGGAATAATTTGCCTTACCGGTACTCGCGACATTTCTAAAAATAAAAGGGTCAAATGTACGGTTAATACTTTTTTAAGTTAGTAAACTTTTAAATCAAAGTAAACAAGAAAAATAATAAAGCACAAAAACTTACTTGGATAACCGAGAGACGAGAAGTTGGAGATGAAAAGAAAAGGCGAATGATAATTTCTTGCTGGCGGCGGGTTTAAATATTTTCAAGTTAAATGTAAATTTAGCTGTAATTTGTATTCGTTTGCATTTTTGTCTATAAAATTTTGGGGAGTGAGACAAATGCGAACTTTTTTTAGCTCACCTTTTTTCGGGTTTTGAAAAAAAGCTCTAAAAAGCTAATATTAACCAATTTCCATTCTAAAAGTTGTTTTTCTGGGTAATTTTAGGATGTAGAATCCAAATTTTGACATATCAGAGCTTGTGGAACCAATTTGAAAGACAAAACGGTCAAATTACCGAAAATTGCCGATTTTCCTCTATGTATAACTCCGTCCGTTTGCTTCCACAAGCTCTGATATGTCAAAATTTGGATTCTACGCCCTAAAATTACCCAGAAAAATAACTTTTAGAGTAGAAATTGGTTAATATTAGCTTTTTTTAAAACATGAAAAAAGGTGCGCAAATGTCCGAGTGCGCAAAAAAAAGGTCGCATTTGTCCCAGTCCCCAATTTTGCCTTTTTGTCTGCCTATACTGTATTCTCCCTTTTCCATCTTTTTTATTTTTTATTCCAACAAGTCACTCACAAATTCCCTCTCTTTTTCTGTTAATTGATCGAATGACCATCTGTGCTTCCTTTTCTTTTCTTCCTTTTTCCTTTCCTACATTCTACCAGATGACTTTTCCTGTCCTTTTAGGATTTCCTCAATTTCTTACCCTTTTCCTCTACAATAATCGACTCTTTTCTTTTTCTGCAGTCATTGTAGACAGCTCTCCAACACTCATTTTCCTCGCTTCGGTGCTTTCAGCTCTCTTTAGCTCTAGTCTTTCTTATTTACAGATATTAAAATCTTATTTACAGATATTTAATCTGATTCTCACAACAAGCCATCGATGCTCACAAACAATTTGTTCGATTTGGATCTTTACGGTTAACGGCGGGGGCCAAGTTTTTTGGCCAACTTGCAGTCCGATTTTATATAGGCTTTTGTTAATAAATTTTGATGAAAAAAATAGTTTCTGAAAGTTGACGTTCTAAGCTATCTAAATCTTATTAAAATTTCCTGATCTGACAAGTTTTGGGTGCTTAAAAATGAGTAGCAAGTTGGCCAAAAAATTGGCCCCACCGTTAACCGTAAAGATCCATCGATTTCATTACAGGTTTTTAGCAATCACTTCCTTCAGAACATCGTGCTATCAAGATTACAGTACTTTTACATTACTGTACATTTTTCTTTTTCGAATTACGCTAGTTTCGGTAATTAAACGATCTCACAAAGATGAAAGATCTCCGATCCACTCAATATCTCTTCCAATATTTCTTCCAATACCCATTCCTTTTTTCTTTCAACACTCATTTGACCATTCGGGTCATCCATCCTCCTTTTACAAACGATTCCTTCCAAAGTCACAAAGACTATCGATCTTTTTCGAATGACCTCTTTTGGATAATCCACATTACTCCACCAAATCTTCATAAAGATTAGTTTTCATTCTGTAAATTTACATTTCGAAATGTCACTTTTAAATTTTCCAAAACATTTTCTTTTCCATAGAACCTGAAGAAGAACCATCAAAGCACCCTAAGCGATCTATCGATTCCTTTTTTGCAACCTTATTTCCCTTATTATTTTATAACGATCATAAAATATATTTTTAGGGTTTCTAAAGAGAATGGAAGCGGAAGAAGAGCTAATCTCAAAGCTAGCATTTAATATTGTTGAATCAGGAGGCAGGAGAGTGCCAAGTAGAATCTAGCTACCGTTGTCTTTCGAAAGCCAAAGGAGATTATGTTATGAAACCAAAGATCTAATGAGATTAAAAGATCTAAAAAGATCTAATTGTGTCAATCAAAGCGCTGAAGAAAATCCAGTAATTTCTCGTGAGGATCCGCTTGAAATTAATAAGATCGGAAGCCGATTTGAGGAACTGTTGTGCTTGAGCGAAGATGAAAGTGAGCAAGAGGAAGAATTATAGATTAGCAACCTATTTTTGGATAATCCACATTACTCCAACAAATCTTCATAAAGATGAGTTTTCATTTTGTAAATTTCTTTACATTTCTAATGTCACTGTCACTTTTCTAATGTCTTCTAAATTTTCCAAAACATTTTCTTTTTCATAGAACCTGAAGAAGAAAGAACGACCTTGCATCAAAAAAGCTTTTAAAACCAATCGACAAAAAAGGTTGAGTGAAATCACTCGTTAAATCCTTTTGAAACTGTTGAAAAGATTTCAAGAGAAAGTTTTTTTTTTGAAAAGACTCGATTTGCCATCCTTCATCATGTATCTGACATCAAAATTTATCAAAGAAACCATTTTTTCTTGTAACATTTTCTTTTCTTTCGATGAATTGGCCTCAATTTTATGGTTCTCCCATAAAATGCTCGTCGTTTCTTTTGCAAGGTGATTTTACGACCAACTCGTCTTTTTTTTTGCTTAGATATTCCCAAGTATTGTAAATATTTTTCTTGTACTTTTTGAAGTTTCTAGAAATATCATCTAGAAATTCTAGAAATTTTGCAGGTCTAAAAAATAATTTCGCAAAGCTTTTTTTAAGTTGAAGCATCTTTTTTCTATTTTCCTCATCTGCCATTTCCCCATTTGATTATTCATTTTTGACTACAATAGCCGAAACAGATGAACAAATAACGAAGAGAAAATTGGACAAAAAAAAAGCACGATGATTGCAAAAAGTGAGACTTCTAGATCCTACATAATGACAGTTCAGTTTACTTACCGTAAATACTGTAATAGCACCCCACCCTCCTCGTAAAGTCGCGTAGTTTTTTAGTATTTTTAGTATTTCATTTTTTTTCAAAGCGCCCGTACTTTCAAAAAATGCGTCTTTTGTATCAAAAAAATAGCTGAAATTCAGGGCTATTTTTTGATACCTAAGCGCGCATTGTAGCATAAACCAGTGTCGAGAAAAACTCGTTCAAAGCTAGACCACGCAACGCTCCGCACCGTCATTATGGGGGTGGGGTACTATTACAGTATTTACGGTAGTTATAAACCTAGAAAATTGTACCTTTTCTCAAATCAAGTTTTGCTCAGAATGTAAGTAGACCATCCTGGTAGACTAAATTTTTGCTTTAACTAAAGAAATGAAGGAATACGTGCACAAGAAAGCGTATGTTTACACTTTTCAACAAAAATTACACGCCAAATTTGGTATTTGTTTGTACTCTTGATAGAAAGAGTACAAACATTTGTTTGTGAGTACAATCATTTGTTTTTGAGTACAAACATTTGTTTGTACTCTTGTTATAGAAACGCAGCTTGTAATTAAAAAATGTAAACACATACTTTCTGGTGCACTAAACTCTTGATTTTTCTCACGTAACCGATAACTTTTTAGTGTCATAAGAGAAAAAAAAAGAAATGAGCGCACTAGGACGGTGTGTTTACTGTTTTTAGCACAGAATCAATCCTAAAAAAAGCGATCATTGTAGGGAACGGCTTGTCATAACCAGTAATCTCATCAACCAGCTCACTTCTCACTCTTCATCTCCATCATCTTCATCTCCATCTTCATCATCTCGATTTCTTTTGTTTCCTCTCTCTCTATTTCTCCATTTCCTCTTTCGATTCCAAACAGACAGAGCTTTTCGCATTCGAGAGACCCCATCTGATGGTTGGAAATGTTTGTGTTTCAGCGAATCGCCTGTCCATTCCCCCTTCTCACCATCTCTTTCTTCTTTCCCCCCCATTACCCCAAATTTCCCTCCATTTTTCTTTCTTTTTCTCTATTTCCTTTCTCTTTGTCCTGTCTCTTCCATATCGTTCAATCATTCGAAAACATATTGCATAAGCCCACCCCTTGTCTTCACGGTTTGTGGTTTTAGCTTCCGTCTACAGTTACGCCTTGCAATTAGTAACGGCAGACTTGTAAGCGGAAAATTTAATCTTTTGACTTTCAAAGCAAAAAATGGGCAGCTACGCACTGTGACGGAAAAAGTGGAAAAACGTAGTTGCCCCATTTCTTGACTTTTTCTTTGGAAATTAAGATATTCAATTTTCCGCTTGCAAGTTTGAATGCCAATATCTTTCTGAATATCTATCACTGATTCTTTTTGTTCATTTTCTTTAAATCCTTGAATTATTCTTAATCGTTTCCATAATAAAATATTGAACTTTTCAATCCTTAACTCTATAACTCTTTCCTTAACTCTATAACTCTTTCCTTAACTCTATAACTCTTTCCTTAACTCTATTACTCTTTCCTTAACTCTATAACTCTTTCCTTAACTCTATAACTCTTTCCTTAACTCTATAACTCTTTCCTTAACTCTATAACTCTTTCCTTAACTCTATAACTCTTTCCTTAACTCTATTACTCTTTCGCTAAAACTTAAAAATTTTTAAATGCTATGTAAAATTAAAGAAAACATTTAAAACGGGAAAAGTTAAGAAACACTATTAAAAAATTATATTATTTACGAATTTACCAGGCCTATTGTCTACATTTGCACTAGAACCATTCCAAAAAAAAAATTCCACGCCCTAAAAAACCTAAATCCTTAAATAAAACTATCCATTACTATATTTTAAGAAAAGTTTGCAAATTTTTTTCGCGCGACCTTTATACCTTTGCTTAAAAAGCGCACCTTTTAGAAAACGTGTTGTCGAAAGTTTGTCGGATCAATTGTCTGACAAAAAAGTTGTCAATGAAAATTTGTCTGACAATTTGTCTGACAACAAGGAGCACACTCTATGTCTGATGAGTGACGCTGCTTGCTTTTCTCCAAGCCTTGTAACGTCTCCCAGAAATTTGTAAACCCACCAAATCCCTCTAGCCGGGTGATTTTTATTCTTTTTTTATAATAAAATTAGCAATATTAAAATATAAACGATTTTTTATGGTCACTCGACCGCGATTCCTCCCTTTAAAGGTTTAATAGTAAATATTTGATTGGACGAAAAGTTCGTGCGGTTTTTTGTAGTCTCAAACTCAATCAATTTAAACGTTTAATAGCTCGTTCAAAAGCTAATGATCAAGCTAATTATCAATGAAAAAAAGTCGCTTATTGATTCATTGCGTTTTAAATTTTTTACAGAGGTTTTAGTAGAGATCGTTAGACTCTAAAAAGTGCAAAAATATCGTTTCATCAGTTTCTTTTGCTTAAAAACCTACCGTAAATACTGTAATCTGGATCGTAATGTTGGTTCTTTTCCCTTTAGCGTGTGATAAATAGTACCGTAAATACTGTAATAGTACCCCACCCCCCTCGTACAGTCGCGTAGTCGCAAAAGTTTTTTAGTATTTTTAGTATTTCATTTTTTTTCAAAGCGCCCGTACTTTCAAAAAATGCGTCTTTTGTATCAAAAAATAGCTGAAATTCAGGGCTATTTTTTGATACCTAAGCGCGGATTGTAGCATAAACCAGTGTCGAGAAAAACTCGTTCAAAGCTAGACCACGCAACACTCCGCACCGTCATTATGGGCGTGGGGTCCAATTACAGTATTTACGTTAGGCTAAAAACATATTTTTCGTGATCAGACGCAAAAATTACCCCAAGAAATTCAAAAAGTTACGTTTTTGGAAATTAAAAAGAAGCCAAGGGAAGTTGAAAATTTTGTCGCAGCGGGGCTCGAACCAGCGACCCTTAGATCAATAGATATTGCGCCGATTCGGCTGTGTTTTCTCTCGTTTTCCTCTTTATTAACAAGTCATCACTAAAAACCTTTTTTTTTGTAGAGTTAACACAATAAAAGAAAGAGAAATAGGTCACCTACTAAAAAAATGCGTAAAAAGGTGAAAAAAGTACAAGAACATTTTACCCATATAGCTTTATTTAAAATTGATTTCGCTAAATCTCCTTCCCTTGAGTATAATAAAAGGCTAAATAGTTTTGGTCTTCAATCTCTCCAAAACTGTCGCTCTATCTTAGATTTACTAGTGTCTCAAAATTGTAAAAGGTTTCCATCCAAATCCTCTTTTTTGAAATTTTCTTCCTTTAAATCAAAGGCAACTTAGGCGGGGCTCGTTCCTTTTTATATCGAGGGAATTTATCTTCTAAAATCGGTTTCTTTTCGGCTCTGGTTTCTTTTTAAATCGTGTGGTAGAAAGTTGAAATTCGTTATCTAATCATTTACGTGAATTATCTTTCATTTCTTAAAGAAAAATTCAATTTCAATTTCTTCAATTTCAAATTGAAATTTATATGCTAGTTAATTCTATGCAATTTTGTGTTCTAGATCTTTGTTTAAATGAATGGGTACGGGTTTGGTTATCTCTTTGTGTATAATTCAAATGTTTTTACTCTTTCAAACTATCGGTATGAATCAAGTATTCTACAAGGTGACCGCGAATTAAAACGAATTACTTCTGAGCTCAGCGTCTAGCTGGTCTAGCTCACCGAGAACTCAATGAATCCGTATGAAATTTTTGGAGATGATTTTTGAGTATGTTTCCTGTAGCCAAGCCTATTTTCTAACTGATTGGTGCTTCTAGAATCTTTATATGATGATACAAAGTTCAGTGATATCTTACAATCGATCTTACAATTGTTTTTTTCTTAAAATGTTACAGATTCCTTGTCTTTTTTTGATAAATAACATCAAATATTGATCTTTTTTTCGTCTTAAACGTGATCATATTCATTAAATAACTTTAAAAACGGCTCTCAAAAAATCTTAAATTGGTTTTGTTTGGTGTTCCGCGACCCTCACCTTTGTACGGTCATATAAAGATTCTAGAAGCACCAATCAGTTAGAAAATCGGCTTGGCTACAGGAAACATACTCAAAAATGATCTCCAAAAATTTCATACGGAATCATTGAGTTCTCGCTGAGCTACAGCTGAGCTCGCTGAGCTACAGCTGAGCTCGCTGAGCTACAGCTGAGCTCGCTGAGCTACAGCTGAGCTCGCTGAGCTACAGCTGAGCTCGCTGAGCTACAGCTGAGCTCGCTGAGCTACAGCTCGCTGAGCTGTAGACCCTCAGAAGTAATTCGTTTTAATTCGCGGTCATTCTTTATATCATTTCCTGAAATGATACCCAAATTGGATAATCGAATTAGTGTTTTTTTGAAACTTTCAAAGAAGAAACCTTTCAAATAGAAAAGAAAAAAAATCATCAAAATCATTTCAATTTCAGATATGCAACAAATCATCGTGTTTCTTTTACTTTTATTTCATTTATCTTCGGCTACAATTTGTTATCAATGTGTGACCGATGCTATGTTACAGGTTTGGATGCTTTTTATCCACAAAACTAGAAACTAGAAACTAGAAAGCTAGATGAAGCTTACTGCTGCTGTAGAATCGTCCAATTCATTATTAGTTCTCTACTTCTTTAAAATTCAAAGATGCTTCCCTCATTTAGCACATTCAAATCGTCCTTGTTTACTATGAGAAAGTCGAGTCGATTTCAGAATTGGTCTCGTTACGGAATGCCCGTTATGCAAGGACCACAAGAAGCAACGCGATCATGTATGCATGATGAAAACGTGACACAGGTTTGCATTTCAATTCAAATTCAATCTAGCTGAAAGCTCTAGACAATTCACTGCGATGGTTTGTGTGTGATGGTGAATGTGAGTGGGATGATTAGAGGCAAATCACATCCACATATGGGTGAGTGGCAATCGAGAAAAGTCTTTCAATGTCAATTCATTCAATCAGGTGTTCTCCGTGATTGTCAACGCTATTGGCAGCAACCACAATTTCTGTTGGATGGAGAAATGAAAAGCTGTCGGTCACAAATCAAAGAATTGAATCGAAGAACAACAGTCAATATTACTTATTGTTTTTGTGAGGTGAGTGTGTACATTGACATAGATTGACATCAATAAATTGCCGTCAAAAGTTCTGGAGCAGCAGTTCTGGAGCAAGAGTTCTGGAGCAGGAGTTCTGGAGAACTACGGTATCCTGGGTGTACCGTAGAATGTATTCTGTTCTGTAAAGGTTCTGTCCCAGCCATCTACAGTCAAAACTACGATATCCAGGACTACTGTACTGTCCATTTTCAGGGTGATTATTGCAACGGTCTCTCCCGTGCTTCATCCTCATTATTTCCAATATCTGATCGTTCCCATCGTCGTCGATCTCAATCTTCTTCTCATTTGCCATCAATTTTACAAGGAATCCTAATTTTCGTCATTATTTCTCTTGGAGGTGGTCTATTCTGACTATTTTGTGTGCGTTGTCTGTAAAAAAAAAGAAAAACAATGGGTGAGCATAGATCTAAATCAATGAACTAGTTAAAAAGCGCTTTTTTTGAGTCACTATAGCTTTTACTGAACCGTTGCCGTTTGAAACTGAAACGATGCCGTTTAGATTCTAATAAAGATTCTAATAAAGATTCTAATAAAGATTCTAATAAAGATTCTAATAAAGATTCTAATAAAGATTCTAATAAAGATTCTAATTCTAATCATTCATTCAAATCTTTAATTCAAATCTTTCATTCAAATCATTCAAATCTTTCATTCAAATCATTCAAATCATTCATTCAAATCATTCAAATCATTCATTCAAATCATTCAAATCATTCATTCAAATCATTCATTCAAATCATTCAAATCATTCATTCAAATCATTCAAATCATTCATTCAAATCATTCAAATCATTCATTCAAATCATTCAAATCTTTCATTCAAATCATTCAAATCTTTCATTCAAATCATTCAAATCTTTCATTCAAATCATTCAAATCTTTCATTCTAATCATTCAAATCATTCATTCTAATCATTCTAATCAATCTTTTAATTAAATGAAAGTTCGAAAACGCTTAGCTTTGAAAACTTTGAAACATCCATTTTCCATCCATAAAAAGACAACGCACAGAGTCCCAGACTTCTAGATTTTCAATATCAATAGAATTTTATCACAAGAAAACTGTAAGATTATTATTTGACTATAAGATCATCATTTTACTATAAGATTATCTTTTACTATTCCCATTCTCAGGATCATATCCATTTTTGCTTGCTTTACCTACCTCTTACCAAGTTTCATTCATTATTTCCAATCGGGTCTTCTTTTTTATGCATATTTCACTTTGTGCTATTTTAAATCGGGTATTTGCAAAAATTTATAAATTTTTATAGATTTCCAATAAAATAATAACAAAATCTTCAAATAAAAAAAAAACCCGAAAAAGAACTCAATTTGAGCTACAATGAATCAATGACAGAAAATGACAGATGACAATGACAATGACAGAAAGAATCTCTTTTGAACAGCAGCTCCATTCAAAACAATCAAACAGTGCTCAACAAATTTTGAAATGATCGATTCACTTGATCACAATAAATGACGTCATCGTATGAGGGAAGCGGGGAAGCACTTCGTGTTTGGGAATTCGGGTAATCTCAAAAGGAAAGGTTTAACAATGATTTATCTGGCTTTAAAAGAAAAAAAATCAGCATTGAAGATCGTTTCAACCTTCAGTATTTCAGCTATTTTTCATTTGAAAGAATGCAAAATTTATAGCAAAAATACAGCCAAATTTAAGGGAAAAATTATTTGTTTATTTTAAATTATTAAATTATCCCAAAGATTTGACTCGCGATCTTTTTCTGAGAAAATCGGGAGTGGGATAAATGCGACCTTTTTTTGCTGGAAAAGGCCTTAGTCAAGGCCGTAGAGCTTCGAAAATATTTCCATATAAGGGAATCGTATGCGTAGATTCTGAATTTCGATAAATCAGACCTCGCTGACACGTCAAATTTGGGCTAAAAGGCAAAAACTGCGGAAAAGCGTTAAGTTGCGTAGTTTTTGCCTTTTAGCCCAAATTTGACGTGTCAGCGAGGTCTGATTTGTCGAAATTCGGAATCTACGCATACGATTCCCTTATATGGAAATATTTTCGAAGCTCTACGGTCTTGCCTAAGGCCTTTTCCAGCAAAAAAAGGTGCGCAAATGTCCAGGTGCGCAAAAGAAGGTCGCATTTGTCCCACCCCCCAAAGATTTGACTTGCTACCTTTTTCTGAGAAAATCCTCGGTTGGCGCTTTAAACAGTGGTAAAACTACCGTACCCCTCCTAATTTGCGCGAAATTTCATTTTTTCTCATTCTTGTTCATTTCATTTTATTCTTTTGCGTTTTTCTGATGTGATCGCGTTTGTTTTTGCAGGAAATAAAGAGGATAAAGCTAAGTTACGTTTTTAACAGCATTTCCTCTGGTAGAAGCTTTGTTTGTAGAGTTTTTGGTGGTATACTAGTTGGGGGGACCCAGTGAGCGGGGCTTCATTTTGCCGTTGGCAATGCCTCATTTTATCAGTTACACTGAATCCGATTTTGATGAAAATTTGACCATTTACCTATACCGCTTTTTTTGTCGTTTTATTTTGCTTCGACATGCAAATTATCTCATTTGATTCTTTTTGCGTTTTTTTTGATGTGCTCGCGTTTGTTTTTGCAGGAAACAAAGAGGATAAAGCTAAGTTACGTTTTTAACAGCATTCTATGTGGCGAAAGCTTTGTTTGTAGAGTTTTTTTAGACCCACTTGCTTTCCGACGATCTGCTCCACGAACTTGATGCCAACTAATGTTAAGTTAAGTGGTTTTTATCATTTTCTATGGCGGAAGCTTTGTTTTTGCGACTTTTTAGTCGCGCTATCTTTTATACATGCAAATTAGGAGAGATACGGTAGTTTTACCACACTTTAAAACGCCAACCCAGGATTTTCTCGGAAAAAGGTCGCAAGTAAGATTTGGGCATAGTGACGACCAACACGACTTCAACAGATTTCGATAATTAAACCGAACCAAAAATTGCTTTTCACAAAGAAAACCCATAGTTTTTTTGGTCGAATAATAATTGTAGAACCTAATAAACCTCTAGAATCAATAACCTTTATTCGGAAAGCACCTATACACCCAGAATTTATGTAAATGTTTCCAAACAGAGCTGAAATCGTAGATTGTGTTCATTGAAATCTTTACCTGGCAATTCATCGCATTCATTTTCATACAGTATCATCGGTGGGCCATTCACTTGATAGACTGAAATTTGATGTTAGTTTAGGATCGTTTTCTCTTTCAAACCAGCTTTAATATCATCAATCATCGTCTCTTCTCTCGATCGAATATTCGTTATTTCTTCTTTTTTTGTATCAAATTTCAGCGCCACATTTTCGTATTGATATTTCAGAAGAAAAAATACAATTAACATCATAAATAAAAGCAATGTGAGTAGAATGAAAATCGTGGCGAAAGCGAGCGACGAATTCAATAATAATAACATTTCTGAAAGCTTTATTTTCAAAAGAAATTTCAAACTAAAGATAATAAAATATTGAAAATGAAAATTGAGTGAATTCAGAATGAAATTCAAAGTATTCAACTGAATTCAATAAAATTCAGTTCAGAAAATAAACCTTGCAATTTTTTTGCGACAAAAGAAGTTTAAATGGGAATGTTTGGAAATGGAAATAACATTGAGTGACGGATCTGTTCAAATCCATGCCTATTTTCATCTATTCTATAATCTTTTAGGATTACTGTATCTTTGTCTATATCCATAAATACAAACTACGTCAACACAGAGATAATGCCTACACGGAAAAAAGAATATCATGAAAAGTTGGAAAAATGAGAAAAGAAATGATGAGAATTCGCGTCTTCTCGTCTTTTTTTCCCTTCTCGGATATCCCTTAAATCATATTGAGAAATATCATCCGATGAAATTTATTTCTTTACACGTATACGTATGCAAATGTCAGCTGATTATTTGCGTGGTAATTCTGATCCTGATGCCAGCTGATTTCTCAAGAAAATTTACAATAGCGGATCGTTTTCGGACGTGTTTTCTTGTGTCCCAATTTTGACTTGTCTTACCAGAAATCTGTGTAATTTGTGCCCAAATGTCAACACACGGCGTCTAGCTCGTTTAGCTCGTCTAGCTCGTTTAGCTTGTCTAGCTCGTCTAGCTCGTCTAGCTCGTTTAGCTTGTCTAGTGTGGCGAATTGCCACTGCTCTGCAGTTAGTCAAAAATTCAATACAAGTTAAAGTTCAAAGTTGGTGGATAAACTACCGTAGTCAGTCACTAAATGATATTCAGCTGTCCGGTTGTTGTAGCTCGTATGTTTAAAAAACCCATTATTTAAGTTTTGCTTTCGAGTGAGTTTGTTGTTCTCCTTTTTTGTGCTTTATCATTCTTCTTTCACATTCAAGTGTTGAGTTAATTGTGATAGTGCCAAGTTGCTCTAGTTTGAGCGAAATTGCCCTAATAAGGGAAAGTTGGATAAATTATTACGTTTTCAAGAAGACCACCATTGAACCACACCGAGACACGGTCTCACAAGAAATTATATAGATCAAAGCATCAACATATATTTCTTACATCTAGCTCGTTTAGCTTGTCTAGCTCGTTTAGCTCGTCTAGCTCATTTGGCTCGTCTAGCTCATTTGGCTCGTCTAGCTCATTTGGCTCGTCTAGCTCATTTGGCTCGTCTAGCTCATTTAGCTCGTCTAGCTCATTTAGCTCGTCTAGCTCATTTAGCTCGTCTAGCTCATTTAGCTCGTCTAGCTCATTTAGCTCGTCTAGCTCATTTAGCTCGTCTAGCTCACCACTCTTTCCTTTTCTTGTGTGTCGTCACGTTTAAATCTTTATTAAATCACATATTTCCAGTTTTATTTCAAATTCAAATTCACAAATTTTCTTTCATATACAATCACAAAAAAAAACACCGGTTTTCACCAAAAATCCACAGAAAACGATGATACGCAATAAATGACACTTTTAAGGGAAAATGTTATACAAAAGAAAAAGAAAAATAGCCCGTTTCAACATTAAATTGGCCTCAAGATCAAAAATCAAGAAAAGAAATCAGTTCATAGAAGATTTCACTGCTTTTTCTAAAATGTATCAACTTTTGTAACTTTGTAAATTAACGTAACCTTTCCTCGTTTTTATCCAATTAATCTATTTTGATCTGATTCTGTGACTAAAAAAGATCGATTAGATAAAGATAATAAATCGATTAGATAACTAAAAGCAAGATTATGATACCTTCGAAAAGTGGACACATTTTAGAAAGCTTTTAGAAAGATCAACAAAAAAGAGATGATTGATAAAGAGATCAAAAGGGTTTGTAAGAGTTGAGGATTTCAGTTAATTTCAGTCATCAAGCTGTAATTTATCAAGCTGAAATGCTCGCTTTTGGATATCCTCCAATTCGATTGAGATCCGAAGAAATTGTCGTGTCTCGAGCTTTCAAAAGACTTTGACGATGCTGAAAGATCACTTTTTTTGTTGTTTTTGACAATCGTAATCTTTATAAAGTAATCTTTATAACGTAATCTTTATAACGTAATCTAACGAACGTAGTCTTTATAACGTAGCCTTTAGAACGTAGCCTTTATAACGTAGCCTTTATAAAGTAATCTTTATAAAGTAATCTTTATAACGTAATTTTTACACGATCATCGATTTCCCCCACCTGTGACAGTGATGATCGATATTCGTAATCTTGATAGATTGCTGATAAAGAGAAACGATTTTGACAATCGAATAGAACATGTTTACGGATGACACTACTGGAAACAAATAGATTCTATCTTTTTTTTCAAAAAATACAAACCTGAAGAAAAGATATAGAATGGGATTTGCAATTGAATTTGCTGAGAAAACGATCATCACAGCCCAGTTCATCCATTTGCCATGTTTAGAACAAACGGCAATAAATACCTTGAAAGGAAATGATTTTGAATGATTTTGAATGACTTTGAATGACTTTGAATGATTTTGATTGATTTTGAATGACTTTGAATGATTTTAAATGATTTTGAATCATCTTTTGCTTTACCTTTAATGATTTTTTTACTATTTTTTAATCAACAATTTAGCAAACCTGTCCGACGACGAAAAGAATTGTATTGCAGATGCAAGGAATGAGTAAACGAGTCTCGATTGAGAGTTGTCTTTGAGCAGCAAAGGCCATTGGAGTCAATGATGGAGAACGACCATTTGGGGGACGTGTTTTGAGATCTGGAACAAAAGGGAAACGTTTCAATGCTAATGTATTGTATTATTGCAATGTTAATGTAGGGAAAATATTGTAATCTTAGCTTTGATACTTATTTTAGGTTTATCTTTGTTATTAAATGGTTTATCTTTGCTCAAACTACTTTAAAAAATCATAATATTCTATCTCAAAATCGGAATTAGATCTTAAACTAGATTAGAATCCACTACCGGATACTAAATACCGTATTTTCTCTAATAGTAGTGCACCCCGTCGAGCCGAGTTGGTGACTATTTTATCGTTCCCAAGCTTTTGCAGAAGCTCAACACTCTAATCCCTCACTAGATCTCATCGTGAGCTACATTTTCCGACCCCACATCGATAGATTCTGATAAGCGGTTCTCGAGATTTCGAGGAATTTAGGCGACGCTCAGGGTGCACTACTATTAGAGAGAATACGGTACCAAAACTACAGTATCAGATAGTGTTTTCAGCCAAGAATCATGAATATTTTCAATTTAGCTTTGAAATATAATATATATACCGTAAATACTTTAATAGTACCCCACCCCCACAATGACGGTGCGGAGTGTTGCGTAGTCTAGCTTTGAACGAGTTTTTCTCGATACTGGTTTATGCTACAATGCGCGCTTAGGTATCAAAAAATAGCCCTGAATTTCAGCTATTTTTTGATACTAAAGACGCATTTTTTGAAAGTACAGTCGCGTAGTCGCAAAAGTTTTTTAGTATTTTTAGTATTTCATTTTTTTCAAAGCGCCCGTACTTTCAAAAAATGCGTCTTTAGTATCAAAAAATAGCTGAAATTCAGGGCTATTTTTTGATACCTAAGCGCGCATTGTAGCATAAACCAGTGTCGAGAAAAAAAGCGCTCAAAGCTAGACTACGCAACACTCTGCACTATTACAATATTTACGGTACTTTAACTCAGGGGGCGAATAGAAGCGAATCCGCGAATCATAGACGCAGATAACATATTGCTACAATACTTTCACAAAAAAAAGAAAGAAAACTAAAAAACTAGAACTAGAAGATAGTAAAGTAAAGGAGAAAAGCTAGAAACTAGAAAAGTCTAAACTAGAAAATCGAACTAGAAAATAGTACAGTAAAACTAAAGTTAGGAAACACAGGTAGAAAAAGATTTAAATATAGAGCAGATTTGAAATGGCAATAAGATCTAATTCGTTTACAGAAACTTTCAATTTTTCTACAGACGAGAAGATACCAGACGGAAGCTGGTATCTTCTCGTCTATAGGAAACCCTACTAATACGGTTCCAAAACGTATTAGTAGGAGTAGGGTTTCCTACAGACGTTTCCAAACCCTACTAATACGGTTCGCAAAAAGAATGATTAAGGGAAAGATTTGTTATTAAAAGAAACACTTTTAATAACAAAATTGGCACTTTAAAGTAATCTCTATACTTTTCGCTCTGTTTTTGTTTAGTCTACTAATTTGCTTGTATTAGTAGGGTTTTCTACAGACTTAGTAGGGTTTCCTACAGACTTAGTAGGGTTTTCTACAGACCTACAGACTACAGGTTTACTAGCTTCCGTCTGGTATCTTCTCGTCTGTAGAAAAATTGAAAGTTTCTGTAAGCAAATTAGCAAAACCCTACTAATTTTAAACTAATCCAAAATGAAATCAATAATTTAATCGAACTATCGATTAAAGATACTAGCTGAAACAAGAAACAATGCCCATTTCAGTAATCCAGTCCATCCATTTCCTGTCTTATTCCTGTCAATAACAGAATCCAAAATGCTTGGTTTTTTGTTTGTTTGTTGAGGAATTTCAGTCTCAACCTTATCAATCAACTTCTTCATTTCAAATCTCATTTAATTTCTTCAAAAGGAACACGCTTTGTTTTCTCTCAAAAACTCACCGACAATCCTTTTTCGTTGCCTTTTAAAGAGAACAGCCAATGCGATTGCATAAAATGGAAATGGAATCACCATTAAAGCAATATTCAAAGCCATATAGTAAGAGGATGTTCCACCTAAAATTGACAATATATTCACGATTGAATGCTTTAAATGCTATTTTTTTTATTCTTCTCTAATGTTATTCAATTTTTTCTATAATGCCAATCTTTTTTGTCTCAAGTAATCGTATTCTGTGCTTTTTCAATTGTGCAAGCAGCTTTCTATGCTTTTAAAAGCTAATAATTTTAATAACTGCTAACTAAAACCCTCTGAATCGATCTAGCAAAGAATCAAAATTTTTTATGAAAAAGGCAAGCTCGAGCGGGGGTCGAACCTGCCGGCCCGACTATGGCTGTTTGGTTTAGAGACAAGGACGCAAGCCAGCCGCCAGCCGCAAGCCAGCCGCCAGCCGCAAGCCAGCCGCCAGCCGCAAGCCAGCCGCCAGCCGCAAGCCAGCCGCCAGCCGCAAGCCAGCCGCCAGCCGCAAGCCAGCCGCCAGCCGCAAGCCAGCCGCCAGCCGCAAGCCAGCCGCCAGCCGCAAGCCAGCCGCCAGCCGCAAGCCAGCCGGTAGAGAAAGCGGTCGGTTTGGAGGGCGTTTTAGAAAGCGATTACTGGAAAGGAACACGCTTTGTTTTCTCTTTTCTTACAAACCATTGACATATTCCAATCGGCATCCATTCCAAAGAATCAAAATTTTTTATGAAAAAGGCAAAACAACTAGTTCGAGCGGGGGTCGAACTTGCCTGCCCGACTATGGCTGTTCGTTTTAAAGACAAGGACGCAAGCCAATCGGTCAGCTGGTAGATTGGGCTGTCCGTTTGGGGGGGCGTTTTAGAAAGCGATTACCCGAAAGTGCTTTGTTTTCTCTTTTACAAACCATTGACATATCGATTCCAATCGGCATCCATTCCATATCGTTTCGGATTATAGAAAAGTGGCTCAAACCATTGAAACTAAATTTGAAATGCTTTCAAAATCTAAAAAATAAAGCTCAAATTTTTACCTGATGTTCGACGAGACTCTGAACAAGACCCAAAAACCAAGCCGAGAGACAAATCAATACACAAGTGCCTGGAAATTCATTATATTATATATATATATTTTTTTTGAAACAACTCAAATACTTTAAACTCAAATCACTAACCATTTTGAAGTGTTCTAAACCAATTTGGCCATTGAACGGCGGCGAGACGAGACCAAGCAACAATTGAATAATGATACACCATAGCCCACCTGGAAATGTTGGATTAGATTTGTTTTTAATTGAATCATAATATCCAAATATATTTAGATAATAGAGCTATTCATTTGTTGATTTAATTGACAATAGGTGTAGAACGAAAGAACGAGATTTTATCAAGTGATTTCTGTTTTTTTTTCAATGTTTTTCAAGTCTTCTTGCTACATAAAGATAAAATTTTCTAAGCTTTATCACACAGAAAATAAACAAAAAAGAAATTGATTTATTTGCTATATTTAAAGAAGAATTTTGAGGTTTATTTAGATTTTTACTGTACCTTATTCTTGAAGAATTTATTGTTTCTTTCGTAGCCAAGTTTCTGTCGTATTTACCGTTTTGATTACCCAATTTATCTTAATACTTAGGTTGTTCGGTTGTTCGGTAAATATTAGATTGTTCGGATATAAACGAGCGTTTGCACTGCTTAACTCGTGAGGGAGCCATTTCCCGCATCTGATGCGCATCCGCATCTAATCCCCTTTCCAATGGCGTGGAGTAGAATTTGAACATAGAAACTGTTCTCCTGGTCCTAGTCATTTCTGTTTTCGAATAGTATTATCGAAATAGATCCACTTCCCATCTCCAGTAATGAGAGAATCAAAAAGCCATGATCTTTAGCATGGCGGATGAGAATTCCGGCAATAGCGACCCATGAAGCCTTGTTTGCACTGCTTAACTCGCGAGGAAGCCATTTCCCGCATCTAATCGTCTTTCCAATGGCGTGGAGATGCTCATCAATAGTAGAATTTGAACATAGAAACTGTTGAGCATCATTTGACATGGATCCGATTCGATTGCAGCCCTCAAAGTATCGTTGTCTACCGCTTGAGGTCGACGAGAGTGTTCATGATCCTCGGGACTTTCATCACCATTCCGAAAGCGTTGGAAGCAGGTTCGGCATCGACTTTCGAACTTTCGGCTTTTGAAAATCATTCCCAAATGCTTTGACCAAATCTCGATGGGATTCCGCGATTCCTATTTGGTTCCTATTTGATTCCTTTGCCCAATTTGAAGTCGTAAAGTAGGACAAGACGCGAACTTGAAGTCGGTCATCTAAAGTCATCTAAATTTTTGAAGTCGGTCATCTAAAGCAAGAAAAAAAGATCTTAAAAATAAGAAATTATCCATTTAAAAAGATTCCAAATATACACAAGATAACGTACTTTTAAATACAGAAAGACATATTTTAAAAGTTTTCCTTACAACAATAAGTTTAGTAACGCTTGTTTATATCCCGAACAACCTAATAGAAAACAATTTTGTGGAATGATTGAAAAATCGAAGCGCATTTCGCTTCTATTAGCATCAATACTCGATCACTAGCAAACAAACCATGTGAAATCGAGATAAACATGCAAATGCCATCTCCACGATTCGGGAATCATCTCATTTTGACACAAAATCACCAAACCCGGCCAAACACCGAACTAAAAAAATTCGATTTTGCATTTTCTTTGCTTAAATCTTGTTGAAAGCTTTTAAAACAATGTTAAATTGCTTTTCCATTATCATTAAATTTATCTAAACTATTCTAAACTAGATCTAAACTAGATCTAAACAATTCAAATTGTTTTCCATTATCATTAAATTTATCTAAACCATTCTAAACTATTCTAAACTAAATCTAAACGATTCAAATACTTTTCCATTATCATTAAATTTATCAAAAATTTCCTCTTTTCATCCATCCCAAAAATTTCAAACTTTTCCCTTTGAAAGCAGAAAAAATTTGCGTCAAAAAAGGTTTGAAATTTCAGTAAACGAAGAAAATCGGCGTGTGAATGGATTAGAAAAAAAAAGAAATTTGAGACCAAAAAAAGTTGGGGAGGAAAATATTTGTGAACACTTTGTGACAATTGGTTTTTTTTTGAGAGAAAATGGGGAAAGCTGAGGGTGAAAAATATACCTGGATCATCAACAAAATATCGGAGATGGCTTGTGAGATGAGAAATCTGAGAAGATTCTTCATTTATTTATAAAATTCTTTCAAATTTCTACCGAAATCCGACAATTTCGTGTGACATCCGAATCATGGAATAAGTGATCGCTGTGTAGAGGACAATGCCGAGAAGACCGAATAAAAGAAGGAAAAAGCCCGCGATTGCATCCTCGCCGGTCATTGACATTTTTGGGCAACTGAAAGAAAGATTTTTCCATATTTTGATGTGAAAAAAAGAAATGATTCGGGAAAACTTTGGTTGGAATTGGAAAAAAATGGTTGGAATTGGTTGGAATTGGAAAAAATTGGATTAATTGGAAGAAAGTGATTGAAAAAAAGAGATTCTTGAATGATAAATGAAAGACAAAAGATTGAATAGTTGGAACGGAAGAATCGAACGATTCTCTTGTTTTATTTTAAAACTGAATAGCTGTTGGAAAAGGCTCTCATTCAACTGAATACTTGGGGGTGGCTACGACGCTAAATCTTACTTCGCGCTAAATCTTTTGTGCAACTGGGCCATTTGCGCAACTAGGTCTTTTGCGCAACACGTCATAACTTTGTTCTAAGTCTTTCTAAGCCTTCTAAGTCTTCTAAGCCAATATGATTTTGGTGTCATTTTGTAGATCTCAACAAGTGTAACAAAATGGCACCAAAATCATAAAGTTTGGCCGATTTAGAAGAAAGTTATGGCGAGTCGCGCAAATGACCCAATTGCGCAAAAAATTTGACGCAAAGTAGCCACCCCCAAATACTTATCTCCCTCTGGGGCAACAGCCATGAAGTGTGGTCTGGCGTGGTGGTTAGCACAGTTGCTTGGTAGGCGAAAGATCGTGGGTTCGAGTCCCGGTGGCGCACGTTTTTTTGATCTGCGCTAGTTCCAACTGAATAACTTTTAAAAAGCTAAAACTTTGGCTGAAAATTAGTCTTATATCGATATCTGAATGGCTTTCTTGGTAATTTAAAACTTTATGTAATCTTTTTTGTCTATTCATTATAATCAATTTCTTTTTTTGGAAAATTCCCTTAGATTTACCGCATTTTCTCACAAAATTAGGAGTAAGAATTTGCAAAAAAAAAAGATTTATAGAATGACGTTTTAATGAACGATGGCCCCATAAGGAACTTGTTTTTTTTTTTCCTTTGCCCGACCAGGCTCATGAAAATATTCTTAAACCGGACAAAAAATTCAAGGACTCTTCAAAGAAAAGGACAAATTGAAGGGAAAAAAGAGGCAAAGAATAGACAAAAAAAAAAGAAAAAAATGAATAAAGTGTGGCGGAAGGTTTCCCGGGGTGATCTGTGGAAAATTTGGAGAATTCTGGAACTCCTGGAATAGTTGAAAGCTGGAGAAATCGACTAGGAATCGATTAGGAATCGTTTGCGATCAAAAACAGGATAACTTCATGAATTGCTTTAAGATTTGAGGAAAGACTCAACGTTTTCTAGACTCAACGCAAAATAAAACAGCCAAAAATGGAAATGAGGAAGCCGAGAGGTCATTTTACACGAAAATTCACGGATTGTTTTTTCTTGCAACACCGGAAAAGGGTGATGAAAAAGAAAAGAAAAAAAAAGGGAATGGATAGAAAAATCTCATTATGTTTCAACAAGTACACGGAGAAGAAGAACAAAAAGAAGAAAAGGGGAAAGGGGCTTGGTCAATGAAGTCACAAATGGAATTGCATTCAGAAAACTTTGGCTTTGATCTTTTTTGGTAGATCGACAAAAAAGAGAGTACATTTACATTGATATGGGAAATGTGATTGGATGAAAAGAATAACAATTTGAGGCTTTGCTCTTTGATTGGGATGATTAACCTTTAAAGATAAGTTTAAAGATAACTTCAAAGATAACTTTAAAGATGAGTTTAAAGATAAGTTTAGAGATAACTTTAAAGATAGCTTTAAAGATAATTTTAAAGATAAGTTTAGAGATAACTTTAAAGATAACTTTAAAGATAACTTTATACAATTTCCCATTGTGAACTCTTTGTGCACTTTTTGGTACATTAATAGATTAACAGATTGCATCTGGGATACAAAAAAAGCTCCATCTACAAAGCCCACAGCACAAAGCCCACAGCAAAAAGCCCACAGCACAAAGCCCACAGCACAAAGCCCACAGCACAAAGCCCACAGCACAAAGCCCACAGCACAAAGCCCACAGCACAAAGCCCACAGCACAAAGCCCACAGCACAAAGCCCACAAAGCTGAAATCCAGAAAATCTTTTCGAAAAAGTGTAGGATATCTTTGCCTTCAGAATTTTCAAACTTAGAAATGTTGTTTTTATTATTTTGCTTTCATTTTGGAATGGACAATTGAAAATATTGAAAATAGCCAAGAAAAGATTTGAGAAGATTTTTGGTATCCATCTAGAATTGATTTAAAAGTAAAAGCTTCAAGTTAAAAGTAAAAGTAAAAGAATCTCAGTTTACTCGATGTTTATTGTTTAACAATTGTTGATTTTATAGTTGATTTTATAGCTAAAGTTGAATGTAAATGAATAACAAAGAGATTCGATAAGAGTTTCTTTGACCGTTAAAGAGATTAAAGAGCTAAATACCGTATTTCTTCGAATAGAAGACCGGGTAAAGAGTATGATCGCGTACTCCTGCGTAGCAGCCCTTTTTAAAATTTCTTTTCCGCATAAAAGCTTTCAATGAAGTGCTATAGAGCTGGAAAATGGCTCAAAAATACCACATGAGCTAACAGATTTTTGAGTTATTTTCCAGCCCTATAGCACTTGATTGAAAGCTTTTATGCAGAAAAGAAATTTAAAAAAGGGCTGCTACGCAGGAGTACGCGATCATATTCTTTAACCGGTCTTCTATTCGAACAAATACGGTATATGTTTTATTCAGTTGAATAGCGACAAAACAAAATCACAATAATTACCCGGGACACCACTCAAAACACAAAACACAAAATTGTTGATTTTATAGTTGCTAAAGTTGAATGTAAATGAATAACAAAGAGATTCGATAAGTTTCCTTGACCATTAAAAGAGCTAAATAAATAAGATTTCCCTTTTTATGTATAGAAGAGGATAATGATAAAGAATTGAAAAAGTTAAAAGAAAAGAAGAAAAGAAAAAGTAATGAAGAGTGACAAAGTGAAATCTTTTTCGTCTTTCAATAGAAAAATGTGATTTGTTTAATGAAAAACAAGACAAAGATGAAGAAAAAAAAACTCGAAAATCTCTCAAAGAACACAAATTTTTGCAGATTTCTCCAAAAACGAAGAAATCTCGTGTTTTACGGAGAGAAACATATCCATTTTTTCCCAGATTTCCTTCAGATGATTTCCCCCTGACTTCTTCAGATTTTTCCCATCATATTTGGGAAAAGAAGGAGTTGCAATGATGGAAAAGAAGACAAAGAAGAGAACAAGAAGAGAAAAAGAAGTGGATGGCTTGAAGGGAGCTCGGCTTGAAGGGAGTGAAAAAAATGATTCCCCAAAAATGTAAAGGGGAAAACGAATAAACCAAGCTTATTTGTGAGTCGGGATTTTATCAAAGAACTTTTGATGCAGATAGAGATATTTTTACATATCTTTGGCACAAGATTATTCAATTTCTGACCGTAATTGAACACTTAACTCAAAATCTAATCAAGATATCAATGAAGATTTTGTCAATGAGTCAGAGAAACGACCGGCAATCGTACTTGTACTTTCGTTTAGGCAATCGTACTTGTACTTTAGTTTAGGCAATAGTACTTGTACTTTAGTCTAGGCAATAGTACTTGTACTTTAGTCTAGGCAATAGTACTTGTACTACAAGGCAATAGTACTTGTACTTTAGTTTAGGCAATAGTACTTGTACTAATGCCTTGTACTACTACTTGTCATAGTCTTTCTTATCAAAATAGAATGAAAAATCTATCGCTTTCCCTAGACTCAATCCAATCGAAATCAAACGTGACATTTGCAAAAAAAAATTCCAACAGATTTTTCTTTGCAAATTTGAAAACGATCATCTTTATAAGAAAAAGAAATTGAATCAGATTTCGTTTTGAGAATTGGAACAATGAGTAAATATTGAAATATTGAAATATTGAAATATTGAAAGAAATGAGGGAAATCGAGTGGATTTTGAAAGGAAATCTGATGAAATGCTAGCTTTTGATGCAGTTCTTCGTGAAAAAAATGTAAACACACCCTTTCTGGTGTACTCAATTCTCATTTCTTGTAAAAGAAAGTGATAATTACGAGAAAATCAGAGATTCAAGCGCGCCAGAAAGGTGCCCACATTTTTGAGCACAAAGTACATGGTTAGCAAAATATTCTGCTCAAATAGAAATCTTCTCAATCTTTAAATAGTCATTCGTCTTTCATTTCACTGTCACATGTCTCATTTTTATTCATTTATTTCATTCATTTCACCTAAATTTATTTCAATATAGTATAACACGAAAGCTTGAAAGGAAATCCCCACATCACATGCCAAATGTTTCAATGTTTTCTATAAATTTTACCAAAAAAAAAAGATAATCCAAACCGAAAAAAATTGTAAAATCGGCAACATTCAAAGTCTTAAGTTTTAGCAAAAGCAAAAGTCTTAAGTCTAAGTCTAAGTTTAAAAAATTTGCACGAAAATGTTTCCCCTAACTGCAAAAAGCCTAAAATTATCAAAAGCTTCAAAAATTAGGCCTAATTTAGCAAATTTTCGTGGGCAATTTTGAAAAAAACCCCATGTAAAATGAGCTGTTTGGAAGGGAAATTTTGGGAGATGCAAAGGATTTTTGGTGAAAAAGAAAGGGAAAAACGGAAGTAGAGCATTTGGGAAATTAACGAATTTCCTGTTGAAATAAGAAACGTTTTTTTTTGGATGGAAAGAATAACAATTTTTGGCACTTTGCTCTTTGATCCAAATATTTGAATTGGATTGGGATGGGCATGGAAAAATTACCGTACTTTTAGCGAAAATTATTGCAGGAAAAATGGGGGTGGGACAAATGCGACCTTTTTTTGCTGGAAAAGGCCTTAGGAAAGGTCGTAGAGCTTCAAAAATGTTTTCAAAGAAGGGAATCGTATGCGTAGATTCCGAAATTTCGACAAATCAGACCTCGCTGACACGTCAAATTTGGGTTAAAAGGCAAGCAAACTGCGGAAAATTGCGTTAAGTTGCGTAGTTTTTGCCTTTTAGCCCAAATTTGACGTGTCAGGGAGGTCTGATTTGTCGA